TTCTAACATTTTTTTGGCCAAAAAATTTCTTTTTATTGTTTAAATATTTCTCTTTATTTTAATGAAAAAAAATAAAAAAAATTTTCAGTGAGGGAATTGTAAGTAAATGGAAGAGGAAGCTCGAAAACCAATTGCTTACAGGCCTAGGGCATTGGATGGAGGCTATGGCTGGGTGGTTGTTTTAGGTTTGTTTACTGTTAATAAATTTGGAATTAAATATATTTTAATTGAAGAAAAATGATTAAACTGGAAAAAATTAAAATAAGATAGTAAATTTAGACTTGACAAATATTTTTTAAAATTCTAGTAAAGGCTTTCCCTCTTGGAAAAATTTTTCCTGCTTAAAAAAGAATTTGAACAAATTATCTATTTTCCCAACCAAAAATGAGACATTTTAATTTTGAATAAGAATTAATAGAGCAACGCAAAATTCTAGTGATTTTTTTAATTTTTAAAGGTTCCTTTTTAATTCACGTTTTTACTGACGGATTTGTTTATTCTTTTGGAGTGATTGCTGAATCGCTTATTCAAGTATTTTAAATTCTGAAAATAAAAATAAATATTTTTTAGGAATTTGATTCTTCCAATACAGTTGTATCAACTATTCTTTCCCTTCTTACTGGGTTAATGCTGGCTACTGGTCCGGTTAGTTGTGCCTGTTACTTTACTGATTTTAATATTCTTAAATATTTCTGAAAAAATTATGATTAAAATCTAAATTTTAAATTAATAATTTAAATAACTCATAAACACAAATTAACTGATAATAATAATAAATTTGAAAATAAAAATAATATTTTAAGTTAAATTATAATTATTAGACTAAAGTTTTAAAAACATTTACCCTATTTTGATTTTGTATTCTTTCAGTTAGCCTCGGCAATTTGTAATCGAATTGGATGTAGAATTACAACAATTATTGGAGCTATTATTGCTTCTTTTGGGTTAATAAATAAATAATTTATTTAATTAATAATAATTTCCTAATAGTTGTGCTATTTCTTATTTTGCCACCTCCATGGCTTTTCTTATTTTCTCTGTTGGGATTGTGATGGGGACTGGATTTGGATTAATGTATTGTCCGGCTATTGTAATTGTTACAATATATTTTGAGAAATATCGATCACTTGCTACAGGTTTTTGATAAAAATTGGGGAAATAATGGAAAAATTTTAAGCAACCGATAAGTTACAAAAATATTTTTTCTATTTGGGCGATTTTGGATTGGAAAATTAAAATTAGAAAATTAGGGGATAAATAAATAGAAGGAAATTGTTAAAATTTTTAATTTGTTTGAGTCCAAAAATTAATTTTTAAAACATTTAAAGGAGTAACAGTTTGTGGGGCAGGAGTTGGTCAGTCTTTAATTAAATAAATAATAGGGTTGTTCACTACCAGTAATTAACCGGTGCTCCCGGTTTTCGCTTAATCCAAACCTTAAAAACCCGGTTTTCGGTTTTAAGTTTTGGTCAGATACCGGTTTTATTTTGGGGGAATTTTTAATACATAAATCAATCATTTTCATAAATTTCCGGTTTTTGGTTAATATTTGGCAAGAAATCTTAAAAATTCCGGTCTTAAAACCTGTCGTGAACAACTCTAATATAACTAATTAAAATAACAAAAAATATATTTTTAGGTACTTTTATCTTCTCAAAAATCATTAGTATTTTAATTGTTCAATTTGACTGGCGGACTGTTTTTATAATTTATGCCGGTCCTTTCAAAATATTTTTAAAATAAAATATATTAATTTAATTAAAGTCCTGGTACTTCTTTGTGTGCCTTGTGGTATTCTTTACAGACCTGTTAAATTTGTGCCAATTTATGAGGATGAAGAAGAGTTGGATGAAGAAAAGGGAATTGTTGAAATTGAAGAGGAATCGGGAATTGGGGTAGATGAAGAGGGAATTAAGCCAGAAAGTGAAGGAAAAATTTTTTAAAAATTTAAATTTCTATTCAGGTTATCAAAATGGAAATGCCTTTCAAAATAATATTCTAAGGCCAGCACAATCACAACAATTAATAAATAAATTTTCAACAAAAACTAATGGAGTATTAAATGGGAATATTTTGGGGGGAAAAGTAAATGGAGGGGAAGGATTTTTACAAAGATTTCTTTCAATTGGTGATAGATTAGATGATCGAGATTGTGGAAAGGGTAGAGGGTCGATTAGTGTTTCTACTGGATTTTTGAATGTGAGGGATATTTTCTACACAGGAAGTATTGCCGGTTAGTAGGGAAATTGAATAAATTTAAATAAAAAATATTTTTTTAGAATTGCCGGAATACAAGGAAAATAAATTTAGATTTAGATCTGTCAGTTCTTTACATTCACATTCTTCCTTTAATCGGTCTAATGTTCCAAATATTTTACAGGTTTTTAGAGAAAAATTTAAATTTTAAATTTAATCTCCCTTTTTTCTAGTCCCACCAAACAGAAAGGATAGAAGAGGAGAAAGACGAGGAAGTTGAGGATAGTAGTGAATCTAATGAAAAACAAAAGCAAAAACAAATTAATGGAATTAATTCTTGCCATTTATTGGCATCGAAAAGTATTTCAAGTGAAGATGATAGAAGCTCTTCGAGTAGGGCTATTGAAATTTGGAGGTGTTTAATTATTAAATAATTTTTTTTGAAGATAATATTTTTAGAACGGTTAAACGAATGCTTGATCTTTCACTCTTAACTAATCCAGTTTATGTACTCTTTGGCATATCAAATTTTTTGACAAGGTTTAGAAAATAAATTAAATTTATTTAAAAATTTTTTTTCGTTAAAGTATTGGATTTAATGCTCCTCCAATGTTTAGTAAGTTTATTTCAAAAATTAAAAAAATATTAGAATGGACAAAGCAGAATTTTTTAAAATTTAAATAGTTGTCATTGAGGGACGATTAAAAAAATTAATTTTAGTTCTCTCAATTATTTTTTAATTTAGTGCCAATGAATGCAGAATTAGTTCTTGGTTGGGATAAAATCCAAGCATCAACAACAATTTCTGCTTATGGATTAGCTAATATTTTTGGAAGAATTTCCTTTGGTCTTTTATGTGACAGACAATTACCTACAAAATGGGGGAAAGACAAACCTAGAAATCGGCTTTGGATTTACAATTTAACTTTAATGTTTTGCGGGTTTATTACTTGTTTTGTATTTGCTATCAATTCTTTTTATGCCTTTATTGCTTATTGTTTCTTTTATGGATTTACAATTAGTGAGGAGAAATGACATTTTTTAATTAGAAAATTATTTCTTTTTAAAGGTTCTTATGTTTGCCTTACATCTGTGGTGCTTGTTGATTTGGTTGGTGTTGACCGTTTAACAAATGCCTTTGGCCTTCTTTTATTTATTCAAGGAATTGCTACTTTTGTAGGACCTCCTATTGCTGGCTAGTTTAATAAAGAATATTCTTAATAAATTTTTTTGGGGTTTTTGAGGAAGGGAGGAATTTATTGGCATAAAGGAACTGAGACATATTAGGGGTTTCATAAATCTGGAATTAATTTTTTTAGAATTTTTGAATGGTGGAAAATAGACAAGATAGGAAGAGAGTTCTAAATTAAAATAAAAATTATTTTAGTTAAACATTCTCTTTTTTACCTATTTAAAATAAAAATATTTTTATAGGAAAACTATTTGATTTAACAAATCGTTATGATTGGACATTTGCTTTGTGTGGAATTTGCTTATTTTTGTCTGGGGCAATGCTTTTTGTTATTCCTCGATTCCGAAATAATGAAAAATATTTGAATGATAAATGTTCTGTTTTGAGGATTGAAATGAATGGAGGGGATAAATTAATTTGTAATAAAGGTGAGGAGGAAAAATAGGCAAAAGAAGGCATAATTCTCAGTTAGTTAAAGTCGCAAAATAAATGGAAAGTTTTTAAAAAAAATTTTTTCTAATTTTTATTTAATTGAGTAATTTTTTGGTAAAAAATATAAGAGAAATTTAAAAAAATTTTTTACCAAAAAATTCTAATTTTTTTATTTTTCTTCTCTTTTTTAGTAATTATTTTAGAAGTTCAAAAACTCTTTAAATATATATCTATATACTTTCACAACTTATCTACCTTTGCATTTAATTATTTTTTAATAAAAATAAATAAATATTGCAATTAATTAATAATTAATTTTATTTATTTTTTTTCAACGAAAAGTATTTTATTTTATATCTTTATATAATTTTTAATTTGCCATTAATTTATCCACAAAACATTCATTCCTTTTCTATATTTATATAAATATACTCATTTTCATTATTTTTATTTTTCAAATTTTTAATTTACAGAAATATCTTCCTTCCTTTATAATTTTTCAAAAATTAATTTTTATTTCCAAACTTTAAATATTTCTGTATTTTAAATTTTTATCTGAGACAAACAATCTTCTTTTAAATTCTCTTTTCTTTAGCTAAAATTTACGGTGATTTGTTTTTGACAAATTCGAATTTTTGCACTTACTCTTTTTTTTAAATTTTTATTTTTAAAATAAATTTTATCACAATATTTGAATAAAAATATTTAATTAATATATACAATTATGAGCGAAACAAAAGTTTGTGTATCACAGAAGAAAAGAAAAATTTTTTAAAAATTAGAGGAGAGTATACTACGTTCTCATAAAAGTACATATTTATGTAATTTCTAAAAATATTTTCCTCACATTTTAGAAGGATTTTTCTATTCGAACAGGGAGGGAGGGCCTGTTTCAGTTAACCAAAGATTCTCTGTGAAAATCTGGAAAATCTGCTTCAATTACCCTAAGAATTGTACTGAAACATTTCACAGATTATTGGTTAATTAAAAATTAATTTAAAAGAGACTACAAAAATAATATTAACAAAATATAAGGAATATATTTAATTTTTTGTTTAAAAATTAATAAAAATATTATTATTTATTTATTATTGTTCAAAATACCCAAATAATATTCTTAATTAATGAAAATGGCAAGGCATTTATATGTCCAAATAATCAAAGTTATGTAGACATAAAATTAAGGAGCAAAGAGTTTCTCATACCAGGGAGCTGATTCTTTTTCACTTTTCTTATTGAAGTGTTCCTATTTAAATTTTTAATTATTCTCATAATTTAAAAAAATATACTCGTTCAATAAATTGGCAAAGACATAAATTTCTTTGGCAATGTTTTGGTCTATATTCCGAAACACCTAAAAATAACATTTTAAAATGTTTAAAGAAATATTTATTTCGTTGGTTACTTTACCTTCCGTTGGTCTAGCTGGGAGAATAAAACGTCTCTAAAAATTAATTTTAAATAAAATTTTTATTTGTATAAATACTTTCATATAAGCCTTAGCATATTCTTGAGAATAATGGCAAAGTAAATTTTCTGCTTCTGAAAGAAGTTCATCTTCAGTAAAGGGTTTTTGTGTTGCTGTTGGGGAGAATCTTCCATAATAAATACGCAATTGTTTTATAATCTCTTCTTTACAACCATTTGGATCGAGAAAAATAAACATTAACTAATAAATATATTTGGTAAATATTTTTAGGGATTTTTAGTAGAATGTCTACATAATTGCCTGGTTTGATATGGAGTATGTATGTTTCTAATTGGGGGTACTTTTTTAGGACATTGAAAATTAGATTAAAAGAGACACAAACCAGGCTATTTTGGCTAATTAAAAATATTTTTAAACAAATTACCGCAACTTTATGGCAAGATAATTGTCCTCTATCTTGAACGCCTATCAATATTTTATATTGTAAAAAGCTTATTTTATTAACATCTTTCATTAAATTTCTTAGTGAGAGAACAATCTTTAAAAAAAAATATTTTTTAAAAATTAATTTAATTAATTTACATATTTTCGAATAAATACGCAAAGTAATAAACCTAACAATAACATTAAAAGCCAAACAATTGTAAAAATAAGTATTGGAAATCCTCCACCTACAACTAAAAAAATAATTATTTAAAAAATAATTAATTAACTAATTACCTGCTGGAGAGGATGCCAAAACTGCTAACAAAATAATTATAGAAAATATTAACCAAATAGGTGTTAAACGAGAATAAATAACTGCATAACTAAATAATTAATAAATAATAAATAATTATATTTAAGTTAATAATTAACCTAAAAAATCGTAAATCATTAGAAATTGTTCGAATTATGTCTTCAAAAGTTATTTGTGGAAACTTTAAAATTAATTAAATTAATTTAAAATTTGATCTTTACTTCAATCTGTTTATTATTTGCTAATTTTGAAGGCATTTTGTAATCATATTTAGGTGGAACAAGCCAAGCACAATGGGCATTACTTGGATAAACAATTACCAATAATTTGCCATTTTCTATTAATTTATAAAAATTTAATTATTTTAATTGATGGAGATCAATCCCGAGGAATCTGTTTTGTTTGATTTGGCAAACATTGGCAAAATTTGGCCCTATGGGTGGCATTATTTAGTGATTTCATTGTATTTTTTCTTATAATAACTAAAATAATTTACTCAATTCTTCACTATTTTTATCTCCTTCACCATCATCATAATTATTATTAGATCCCCCCTCTGTATTTCCTCCATTACTACTATTAGAAGTTCCAGCACCAATCTCCAAAATAATTTCTTTTTTTCTTTCTTTTTGTGGTTTTGTTGTTGGACGAGGTGGGGGAATTGGTGGAGGGGGTAGGGGTGGGGGTATTCCAATATTATTATTATTTTGTTTTGGACTTTGTTGGGTTGAATCCAAGTCATTTAAAGGAATATCATTAAGTTCAATCGGTTCAAGAAGAGCTGTAATTAATTTAATATTAAAAATATTTGTTAAAATTAAGAATAAATTTATTTAAGGGCTAGGAGAATGGTGATCTCACAGTTTTTAAGGCTGTGTTGATATTGTTGATTAAATTCAATCGACTGAATTAATTGAAGTAAATGTAATTGTGCACAATACTAGATGATTTGGGATTTAATTATTCTAAAATTTTTAAAAGGTAAGGAAGATATTGCACTAAAAATACTCAATGATTGCCTATAAATTCTATCAAAAATTCCCCAGTCCAACAAACCTTTCGAATTTAAATTTTTTGCAAAAAATATCTATTTTATTTTTTACTAACCAGTAGGTTGCCGATCAGATGAAGAAGAGTTTGCAGCCATTTTGACTGGACTTAATAAAATACTACCCCCATCCTCGCCTTTTTCTTTATTAAAAGAAACCCAATTTTTTGATTGCCCATTAGTTATTAAATTATTTTTATTAATATTTTGTTCGTTTTCATTTTCTTCAATTACTGTCTTCATTGTTAAATTTAATATTTTTTTTCAAAAAATAAATTAATAAAATATTCTCTTTTTAATTTTTAGTAATTAATAGTAGTAATAAATTAAATTCAAAAAATTTTTTGGAGAAAACTAAAATAAATTATTTAAAATAATTAATAATTTTAATGAAAAAAAGAAAAAAGAACAATATTTTTATTCTATCACTCGAGATGAAATATGTAGACAGAAGAGCCTATGTATCCAAAAGGTGAGCGGATCCAAAAATTAAAAATTATATCCAAAAGTTAGAAAAATTTTTCCGTCCAAATTTTGTCCGTGACTGTATTTAAATTAATGCATTCTCATTCATAACTTTAAAATTAGGCTCATTTTTAGAATTTTATTTTTTTAAAATAACTTTTTCCTTCAATAAATCATCAAAAAGAAAAAAAAGACCATTTATAAATTTAAAATAAAAATATTTAAAATGATAGATTTACACCTTTAATATAACCAAAATAATAAAAACGGGAATAAAAAAATAAAAACAAGTATTTAAGTACATCAATATAAAATTAAATTTTAAATAAAATTATTATTTAGTGTTCATATTTAAAGGGGATTAAATTTTGAAAATAAAAAATAATTGTTTTGGGAAGGATCTCGATTTAAAATTTAAATAAGGATTTAAAATTAATTGGAGATTGTGGAGACTATTTAAATTCAAAAGTGATTAATGCTAAATAAGTAATAATAGATGGAAATTTAAAAATTTGGGAGGGGATTTAAACAAAACATTTGCTTGAGGAAGGTTTTGTTTTATTCTCTCATTTATAGCAAACAAGATAGCAAAACAGTAAACATTCCTTAATTTCTGGCTAATTTTTTTAATTTTAGCGAGATAGGTAAACCCTCCAGAATCAAAAATTTCTGATTAATAAATGCTTAAAATTAAAAAAATTTTAATTAAAAAATATTAAATAATAACTTGAAGGTTGTTTAATGTTTATATAAATTTATGAGCGAGAAGAGCAAAAAAGACGAAGAAAAATTCGAGAAGGGAGAGAAAACAAAATGATGAAGAAAAGACATAAAAATGAAGAAAAATAATTTTTTCTTTAATGCTAAAATGCCCCAATTTTTTTTCAGCCGATGAACAACGAAGGAGAGGAAGAAGAAAATAATTTGGACGGCCGGACAGTTGTAGAAGGACCGCCAACACAAAAATTTTCTTTCCTCCTATAAAACGTGTGATGACACGCAGTAGAAGCAGCAAACAAGGAATGATGAAGAATATATTTTAATAGTAGATCAATCGATGTTTTTGAAGGAATAAAAATTCTGCGCAAGTCTTTTGTGTGTGTATGAGCATTTATTTTATTTTATATATTCGTTCAATCATTTCTTCTTCTACTTAATATTTGTTGCATGCATTTATAGCGGAGGAAAAGGGAGAAATATGTATGAGTGGCAATTTTTTGAGACTTGCGATACCGAAAATTTTTCAAGAAAATGATAAAAACTTAAGACTACAAATTTATCCCGACTAAAAAAAAAGGAAAAAAAACTTACGATAAAAAATTAAAAAAAATTTTCTTAGAAAATCGAATATGTTAACGTTCATTGAACGTTTGTTTTTTTGTTGTTTTATCCCTCATCTTTACTTCCAATCAGTTGTGAACTTCTGCATTAAATTGAGTAATGTTGCTGTGTTGTTTACCTGACTCGTCTATCTCAGATTTAATGAATGTAGCACCAACTTTTTAAAGAAATATTTAAATTTATATTGAAAGAAAATAAAATTTAAAAGTACATTCAGCACTCTCACAACATAATTTTTAACTCAAAAATTATATTTAATTTAATTAACAACATACACTTCATTGTAGCATTGAAATGTTGCATTCCTTCAATTAACGAATATCTATCATTCCAAAGATTACCAAAATTTTCGACACTCAAATCATGCTCCTTTTCTAAACTTCCCAATTCATCTACTTCACTCGTTGTGATTTCCTGAGTAGCATTCTTTGAATCAGTTTGTGGCTGTAAACGAATCCCTCGAGGTTTCGATACTTCTTCCTCAACATTTTTGTCTAAAATATTTTAGTATATATTTATTGTTGAAAGTTTTCTTTTTAAAATTATTTAAAATCCACTTAATATTTCAAAATAAAATAATATTAACCTTTTTTCTCATTTTTAGGTGGACAATTAAAACCAATTAAAAGACATGTTATACGTTGCCAAAATCCAACTTCTTTAAAATAAAAAAATAAATAGACAGCTTTGTAAACAATTTGGAAGTTCACTATTTAAAATACTCCCTTAAACCACAAAAAGTTTGAATTTTCTTAAATTATGATTCGAGCAGAATTTATTAAAACCTTTTTTGTTTGATTTATGTTCTTCTCCAATTGCCGTGTTGTTTGCAATAATCGTTTGATTATTAACCATTGGAAGATTCTCTTCAATCTTAACTTCCTCTTCTTTCTTATTTTCCTCTTCATTTCCTTTTTCCTCATTTTTAACTTCCTCCCCAATTATTTTATCCTCATCTACCTTCTTTCCCTCATCAACATTTACTTTTGTTTTAACAATATCATCCTTGTCTTCCTTCTTTTCTTCTTTATCATCTTCCTTACTTTCCATTATTACAAAATCATTAAAATGGTCTTTGATTTCCTCTTCTTCGTAGTACTGATTTTCGATGTTTTCTTTACCGTCAGTGTTTTTCTCTTCCTTCTGTTTTTCTTCATTTTCCTCATCATTTCGCTCTTCCTTATTTTCTTCTTTTTTGACACCCTCATTTCCTTCATTTTTATCATCTTCTTCATGTTTTTCATCCTTTTCAAGACTGTCCTTATCTTCTTCAGAAGTTGGATATTTTGGTTTAGGAATTTCATTTGATTCAAACATTAGTTGATCATTAGGTACTTCATCGTTTACCTTCTCATCTCTGTGATTAGTATCAGGGACCTCCTAAATAATATTTAAATAAAAAATAGCCAAGTATTTTAATTCTTCTAACTAAAAATCCAATTTTGATTCAAAAATTTATTTAAATTTTTAAAATTAATATCTGGGATTTTCTAATTACTCTTATTTTAAAGCTTTTTACATGATCAGCCTCAGACTCTTCTTTTTGAATCGAGAATTTATCAGTTACTTCGAGGTGAACACTAGCCTCTTCTTGTCCTTTTAGCAATTCTGTTGATTGTCCCAGAGAATCATTTTCTTTTTCAACTTCTCCAGTTGAATGCTCTTCTGTGGACATTTTCGGTTCATCAGTTTGGGTCGATTCATCAAGTGTAAAGTTTTCAATGTTTCTTGGGGTACCTAGAGCTGTTGGATATAATTAGTAAATGTTTTTAGAAGGTTTAATGATATATAAAAATCATACTCTTTCCTTCAACAATTGCATCACCATTGGGAAAAGTTAATGATATAAGTATCATTAACAGACCCAACAACGGGTATTTTTTCCGAAAATTAATAAACAAATTTTCTTTCATTCGAAAATACTCGCAATAAAGGTAAGGATTTTATTTAGTTTTTCTTTAAAAAATTTTAATTTATGAATGACAGGATTTAATGTTTGACAGTCTTGTTTAAATGCCCTGATTAAAGAGGCGTTTCCTTGATTAAGAAAGGCAGGGCATTTAAGTGTGATTGGACAAGATGTAGTGAAAAAAGCGAGGGATAGAGGGATATAGATAGAGACTGATGATGTGGAAATTTTGCCTAGTTAAGGCATGATAGGCATGCCATTGCCAATATGTAAGAGCATGATTAAGCGCATGATTTAAATTGATTTTAAAGGGCAAATAAATATATTAAATAATAAATAAATTTTTAATTTTATTTAAATTAAAAAAAAATAATTTTAATTTATGTTTAGAAGTTTTAATAATTAATTTACTTAATATTTTAAATTCTTACAAAATTATTCTCAGAACAATTCAAATATAAACATATCTACATAGTTAGGTATATCTAATAGTTTTGCAACACAAACAAATGAATTTAAACATAAAAAATATTTGCAAATCAAGACTGTCTAGTGTTTCAATGCAGTTCAAGGCGCCGCATTGAAAAAGATTATCCAATATTTTGTTAAAATTAATTTAAATTATTCAATCAATTTATTCAACAATTTTATTAAAATTAATACAATAACATTTATTGCATATATTAAATAAAAATAGAAATAAAAAAGGATATTTAAGGGTAATTTAAGAATATTATGAAACTAAAAGATAGAGGTTGAAAGATGTTTGTAGTGCAATTGAGCATTAAAAGTTTTTAAAGCTAATTTAATTTATTAATTAAAATTTTCTATCTTCTTTCACAAATTTCTACATAAATACAAAAAATAATAATTAAATTTAAGCAGTTAAATGTCCACTTTGTTGTTGTTGTTTTTGTTGGTGTTGTAAAAATCCGTGTAGACGTTGATCTCTTTCTTCATTTAATAATGCTGTTGTCAATGAAGATTCTAATTCATCCTCTTCATCGAGAACTAAATCACTGAAATTAAAAAAAGGTTTTTTGTGTTAATTTCCTTTCAAATTTACATATTTTCATCCTCAACCCCATCTTCTTCTTCCTCTTCATTACTTATTTGTTCACTTTCACTCATCAAAAGTTCATATTCAGTTAAACAAAATACCTTTAAAAATTATAAAAATTTCAAAAAAATCTTCCAAAAGAGGAACCTCCCAATCGCTAATTTCTTTGTCTCCAGTAGTTTTGACAGAAGCTCTTTCCCCATCTGAAGATTCTTGATCAACATATTTAATCCAATTAACAAATGTATTAAAAAATCTGTGTGCCAAACCGCTCCTAATTTTTTCAAATTGAAATTTAAAAACTTGTGATTTAAATTACCTTTTTAAATCACTTCTAGTTATTGAATACCCATTAGATGAAGATATTGAATCTAATAACTATAAAAGAATAAATGTTTTCTTATTAAATTAATTTTTGTATTTACAACCCTTGATTTGATGGAAATTTTTAAGAAATAAAAGGGAAAATTAATTAAATTTCCCCTAAATTTCTCCAGAATATGGACCCTTTCGAAAGGGGCAATTAATGACTAATGCATGGAATGTCTATTGAAATATTATGTCTCTTGTTATTTATTTTAATTTAAAATATTATTATTTAAAGTACATTGCAAATAACATCTCGAAGTGCAAGTGTTTCCATATTTTTTGAATTTAATTTTTGTTCAATTGCCTTAAAAATAATTATTTATTTTGTTTTAAATTTATTTAATTTACTTCATAAAAATATTCCATTTCGTATAAACTAATTTGTCCATCCCCATCCAAATCTATACATCTAAACCAATATTCAACACTTGTAGGATGCCTTTTATCTTCTTCAGCAAGTAAGAAACAGACAAAATCTTTAAAAATTAATTTTAAAAAATTAATTTTTAATTAATTAAATTGTAAAAGTAAAGATATTTAAATAATTTCCAAAAAATACTAAATATATGTAAATGCCCGTATAATAATCACAAATACATATTATGGAAAGGGCTGCTAGAATGAAAGAGTTAAAAACCAACGTGAATAGAATAATCAAGTCATTTTCAAATAAAAACTTAACACGAAAAAGACTCCAGTCCGTCACGTGCCAATAAAATTAGACACGAAATGACTAGAACGCCAGCTCGAACCGAAAACGGCAATCCCAATTATAGAGAATATTTAAATTTCCATTAACCATTAAAGGTTAACCCACAAATATTCAACGATCATAGAACGTATCCGTCCATATAAAATTATTATTCCAAAAATCCTTACCTTCAAACCCAATTGTTTCAATTGGCTGCTGCTTTACAGGGCCTTGTTCTGAAATTGTTTTTTGTTCTGAAGGAGTTCTTAGAACAGCTGCTGAGAATATTCGGTCAATAATTCGATCAGTAAGGGCTCTAAATTGGTAAAATTAAAAGAATATTTTCTGATATATTTCAATTTACCCATTGCAATGACGTTTCATGTCATCTCTGGAGATAACCTAAAAAAGTTGTTTTTAAAGGAGGAAATGGAGAGAGAATTTAGTTAATTCTTTTAATTAAAAGATTATCAAGAATATTTCTTGATAAAGATAAATTTTTAATTACCGTATTTACTCGATTAATTCCCCACCCTCAAATAATTCCCCACCCCCTATTAATTCCCCATGACAGGGATAAGTTGAAAAAATAATTCCCCACCCTTGAATACCCTACTACACGTTCAAATTTCAAAACTCGAATAATTCCCCTCCCTTGAATAATTCCCCATGCCACGGATGGGTTGAAAAAATAATTCCTCGGGGGAATTAATCGAGTAAATACGGTAATCAATCTAAATATTTCTACAAATAATTACCAACCATATCATGATCAGTATCCAATTCCCAAAATTTACAGTAAGTAACATAAAAATGTTCATAAGAGAAATAATCAGTTATTCGATTAATATCCGTAATATCATCCAACATTCGAAAAGTTTGTAGAAAATTTGAACGTCTCAATTCACTTGCTGTTATTCTACCACTCCAAGAACGGTTAACATTCCAAAATATACGTACAATTACCTGGGCAGATAATTAATGTTTTTTAATTTTTAAATTAAAACACACCACTTCACAATATTTACTGTAAAATTGAGGGGCTTCTTTCAAAAAATGAAGGCCTGGATGGGTCTGAAAAAGAGAATAATTTTTATTTAGAAATCCCTTAAAGGATTCACCAAAATGAGATCCATAAGTATTGGAAGGAAATCTTCCTTCCTCAGACAATGACTGTTAAATGGCCTTGTAGCTGCATTTAAAGTAAAAATAAATTTAGTAGCTTCATCGTGAGCTTCGGCACACATTCTATAATTTAAATTAATTAATTTTAACTTGTAATTTTAATATTCAAGTACCGATTCCAATAAATGATAAATTGATTAAAATCAATCTTGTGTGAATCTTTCAAGTTTTGCTCATTTTCTGTTTGTACAACAGATGAAGGTGGAATTGATGTTAAGTTGTTCATTCGACAACAAGCATCGTACACTGCCCTCTAAATTAATTAAAGTAATTAGCAGAGTTTTTAAAGAATTATTTTTTTATTAGTTTCTTTTTCAATATTTCTTATAATTTTTTGCTTATTTTATAAGTTTTTTTTGTAAAAAATAAAAAATAAAATTTTGCCTTAGTATAAATAGCCATATCCATTCGTCTACAAAGTTCATCAAAATCAGCAAAAGATATTTTGCCGTCCGGGAAGGATTGAAAAAGCTCTTTGATTCTGCTAAGTTTAGCATCACTTTCCGCCTTTCCAATTGGCCTACCCATGGGAAAATGAAATCTTAAAATGTTAGAATTTTCGATATTTTATAACTAACAATAAGATTATTCAAGGGGTTTTTGCTGAATGTTTTACTTTTGGTGTTTATTTTAAAATTCTATTTTAAAGGACTTTTGAGATTTATCATAATTAATGTCAACTTAATTTAAAAAAACACCTAGGTATTCCCGCTAAACGTCCAGCTATTGGAGATAACCTCAGAGAATTGGCTGCTTGTTGATAACATGGAGGCGGTGATAGAGAAGAAGAAAACTAATTTAAATATAATTTTTAAAATATATTAATTTAAAAGAAAATATTTAATTTTTACTTGTTTTTCAAATTCAGAATTATTATTTGTTTTTTGTTGTTGTTGATGTAATTCTGAATTATTAGGAATAATACCGTTTTGAGTTATTATAATGTTTTTCTGGTTAGTTGGGAGTAATGATGTTGTTGTTGTAGAATTATTCTTGATTTGTTGTTGCTTAATTTAAAAATAAAAATTATTTTTAAAAATTATTTAACAAAAATTTCTGGTTAAAAATATTTAAAATTATTTTTAAATTAATTATTTACAGCTTGTAATGCCGATGTTTGTATAACAGTTTGTGGTAAAAATGTTGAAGAAATTTCTTCATTATTATTATTATTTAAAGCAAATCCATTTAAATATTTATTATTATCTTCTATTTTCCTTTTTTCTGTTTGAATTAAAGGAAGAGAAGAGAAGGTATTTGGGTTTGTTGGGGTTGTTGGTTCTATTATTGGAAGGGTGGAATTTTGCTTGAAAAATGAATCATAATTAAAAATATATTTATTAGAATCTACTTCAGTTTTGCCAACAGGTAGTAGCGTTTCATTAACAGGGGAAGAGGGTGTATTTTCTAGTGAAGTTGAAAGCCTAAATTAATTTAAGGAAATTTAAAATTTTAATAAATTATTATTAAATTAAAAAAAATAAAAAACTGCGGCGCTATCTTAATATAATGCGGCAATCAAATTTTTTCCTTCATTTTTTCCTTTCCATATTTTTCCTTATTTTGTACAGAAAGGTCGGACTTTTTCCCTCGTTCACTTCAAATGAATTTTCCTGTGTTACATTTTTGTGTTGTCTGGCAGAAAACACGGACAGACAAAACACGGACAAACTCGGAAGAAAACACGGCCGAACACGGACAGACAAAACACGGACGAAGACGGACAGACAAAACACGGACGGTCCTTGTTTTGTCTGTCCGAGTCCGTCCATGTTTTGTCTGTCCGTGTTTTCTGCCAGACAACACAAAAATGTAATATTTTTTATTTTTTGCTTTTAATCTTTTTTCTATAATCACATTCGAACATGCCACAGGGAAATTCATTTGAAGTGAACGAGGGAAAAAGTCTGACCTTTCTGTACAAAATAAGGAAAAATATGGAAAGGAAAAAATGAAGGAAAAAATTTGATTGCCGCATTATATTAAGATAGCGCCAAAACTGCTTTTCTGAATGCAAATAATCATAAATTTTTAGTTTTTTTTTGTTTATAAGCTATAATATACTGGATATCTAAAAAATCAAAACCTCTGTTTTTGATCTATAACTGATGGCAAACTTTGTTGTTTTTGTAATTGTTGATCTTTTTTAAATGCAGGCAAGGCCTCGTTGAGAGAATCTGCACGCCATCGGGGACTTTGTTTGTTATCAACATTTTCTGTATTTTCTTTACTGTTACGTGGTGAAGATGTGGACGGGGTGGACTGTAAATTAGGTATTAATTTAGATCAGTTTGTGGCTTTTGTAAGATGTTATTTGCCACTAAAAAATTATATCCATATCTAAGTAATTGGATATAACTTTTGATTTTTAATTAACCAAGGTTGATTTAAAAATCAAAAATACTAGTTAAAAATGCCAAAAAAAAATTTTGTGAATAACAAAGTGTTAAAAACTATCTACCCACATACATACAAACAACATTATTCAAAAAATATTTCTTAATTTTTTTTTAATTTTTCACCACCGTAAAAAGACGAAAAGTGAAGTGAACTTCATCTACAACTAATTTATCAACTGGCGATGAGTGTCTCCATTCCTCTCTATTATTATGATGATATGAGGAAGCTGAAGGGGGCAATTCAGCACCGGTTGGAACAGGCAAATTCATTATAAACGTAGCTGTTGAAGTACTACATTGACTTAAAGGAGTACTTCTGTCAGAACGACGACTGCTCCAGGGCGAGAGATATGCTTCATCTTCCGCTTCTTCATCATCTACTTCTTCATCCCAATCTTCATCCTCTATTTCATCCTCTCCTTGTTCCTCGTCTTCTTTTTCACCGTCCTTTCTTAGGCTATCATCATAATTTTCTTCTTCCGTCCTTAGCTCACATTCTTCCTTACCAACAAAATCTTTAGAACTTTCCCCCTTTTCCATTTCTTCAATTTGAATTCCATCTAATTTAAGCTCGATAGCAGATGAGGATTTGTGCGTATCTATGTGAAAACAGCCATTCTCTACTAGGCTTTTATCATCTTTTCTTTCCAATCCATTTATTACTAATCCTCTACAAGGAAGAAATCTTTCAAGAGGGACATTTCCATCAGAAGACCTCCATTCTTCCATTTTCTGATTAATATCACCCTTCTCTTCCTCCTCCAAATCTTCCTCTTCACAATCTTCATACTCATCTTCGTCATCATCCTCATAATCTGATATGTATTCGTATTCTTCCTCGTCCGTTACTTCCCCTTCTCCGTCATCCTCACTTTTGATTTCATCTTCATTCTCTTCTTTCTTCTTTTCTCTCCGTATTAAATCTTTATAACTTTGCATAAAAGCTTTATTTTTTATATCAATTGCTTCTTTTATTGTTTTTTGTAAAAATTTAGATGATTTTGTTAAAGACAGTCTTTTTTTGGAAATATTTTCGGGAAAAGAAGGGAAATTTTGTTGTCTTCTCTGATTATTTTTAAAAGAATATTTTTTTGTAACATTCATTGTCCCATTAGAATTATTACTTATAGATGGAACTTGTGAACATGAAGCAAATTTTGAAATTGGAAATGGGGAAGGAATTAATTGTTGTTGAGATAAATTATTGAAAGACATTCTTTTTAATAAATAATTACTTTCAAATTTTTTTGTAATTCCATTAAATATTTGGGGGTTAGAATCAGTGGAGGGGAATAAATAGGGATTTGAGTTATTCATATTAATATATTCTGAGTTTGAAAATATTTTGATAATAAAAATAAATTAAATCAGAAAAGAAATTAACAAAAAAATAAAAACTTGTTGTGAATTTAAACAAATATCCAAATCTGGCTTAAAAATATATTTTTTAAATTATCTATTTCTGAACAAATTCTCGTAAACTTAGAGTGAGTGAGAAAATTTGTTAAAAATAAAATGAACAGAAAATGTCATGTATGAACATATAAATATCACCTAAAAAACTACCTACATATATCTAAATAAATCAACATTTAAAGGTGTAACTGATCCTTTCTTCAAAAAAAATTAAATATTGGACACAAACAGCCTTAGGTGAAAATTTGTTGTCTAAAATAGATAAATAGTTAAGAATAAATGAAAAAAAACTTTTTTTAAAAAAAAGCAAAAAATAAATAAATATACAAGAAATTCAAAAGAGAAAATGCTGGAAATATTTTAAAACACACAAGGTAAAAAAGGGGGGCTATTTTTCTTTTGAAAATTGATTGAAGAAAAAGATGGGGGAGATTTGTTTGGATCAAACAAAAAAGAGATTGGAGAGGGAATGGGATAAAAAAATTTTGGTATATTAAAAACCACAGCTGTTAGTTTATTTTATTTTATTTTTCTTTTGATACTTTTGCTCGAGTAAAATAAAAAGATGTAATGAAAAGAATTAAATTAGAAAAATATTTTTAAGCTTAATTTCATGAATGTGGAAGAGATTTGTATAATTAAGTTTACATATATTAGATTAGGAATAAAGAATGCCAAACTAGGAAATAAATTAGAAATTAATTTTTAATTTTAAAATAGAGGAACGGTGGAAGATAAAAATAATTTTTAAAATTATAATTATATTATTTATTTTGTTTTAAAAAATATCCATTTAAGTTAAAAACATCCTATAGTAAACCCCCTCTAAATTAAACCGCTCTATACCTTTCACACTTTTCCAAACTAAAAAAGGATAACAGATGTTATCCAATTATTTCCCCCTTTCCTATAACCCAATATTTAATTAAAATTTATTTTAACCTGAATATTAATTAAATTATTATTCTCTCCTTTTTTCTTTTTCTTTTTAATTTTATTTGTTTTTGTTGTTGTTCTTTTTGGAGGTGATGCTATTAGAAGAAATTTAACAATATTGCCAAGTAAATAATTTAAAGTTTGTCTACGTCTACTTAATAATACAACAGCTTCTTTTACTTTAATTTTGTTGTCCTCAAAAAGGGGTGGGGGAGGTAATGAATTTAATAATAATAAATTATTTTTGTCTCCTTCAATACTTCCACCTGAAGAACATGGAGACGAAGAAATGCCTGAATCTAGATTTTTGGAAGATTTTGAAGATGAAGAAGATTCGATTTTCTGATAAATATCCTCTTCTTCTTCCTTTTTTAAATTATTATTTTTTATTTGTCGGCGTCTAAAAGCTGCAAAAGCTAAAGAAGTACAGTCACAATTTGTTGAAGAATCGTTAATTAATTCTTTCTTTTTTTGATTAAATAAAATAGTATTTTCTCTTTCAGAAGGTACAATAACAGAATTAAAATGAGAAGAAGAAGAAGATGATGTTTTTGAAATTTTTGGATTTTTATTTGAAGAAATAGGGGAAGAAGAATAAGTCTTTGATTTTTTTAAATTATTTTTGTTGGGAGGATTTTGATTTAAATTAAAAGAATTCCAAGAAGAATTTTGTAAAAGAGAATTATTATTTGGCAAAATATTAGCCATTTTCTTTGGGTTTTCTTCAATTTTAACTATTTTTTCTGAATTTTGTGTTTCATCTACTAAATTTATTGTTGTTGTAGGGGTTGTCCATTTACATTCAGAAACATTTGTAATTAAACGACAAAGATTATTAGAAGGTGTAGTAGTTCCGTTAAGGTTTTTAATATTTTTATTATTATTATTGTTATTGCGTGATATAAGCATTAATAAATCTTCATCTATAAGGGGAAATTTATTTGATGTTTTTATTGTTGTTTCTAAAAATGCTGGAGGTCGATGATTGAGAATATAATTATTGTTATTTATATTTCTCTGACGTCTTTGTACGAATGGAGGAATTGGCCTAAAACAAATTTTTGCGTGTAACCTTGGTGAAAAGGCTTAATCATTGATAGTTTTATCCAGAAGATCAATTCAATAACCAATAGACATGTGTTTATTCATAAAACTGAATCATTTCAATATGGACAAAAAAAAGGTTGGCGTCTAATTTTGGCGGCGCCGAAATGTTCAAATAAAGCCTAAACCTTTAGAAGCCTAAACCTTTTGGATTAAAAAGACAATTTGACGTTAACACAATTTGGCGCCAGAATTATTTCTTCACCTATAACTTTTAAAACTGACAACTCTATTAACTATCTTATATCATTCGAAGGCTAAAAAAATTGGAATTATTTCTCAATGGATAAATTTTAAGAAAGAAAAAAATTTAGGGGAACAAAAATATTAGCGCCAAATAATCTGCGCCGAATTGTCTTCGACCGTTTCCCCTACAAAACCTATACCTTTTGACTTCAAGTTTTAAGCAAAAACTTGAAGCCAAAAGGTATAGGTTTTATAAGGGAAAACGTTTTGGACAATTCGGCGCAGATTTTTTTGGCGTTTACGAAATTCGGAGTTGAGTTCATCGGTGCCGGGGGATCAACCTTTATGGAGAAAATAGGATTAAAATCTATTCAGCAATCTCCATTATTCCATAAAATAAAGAATGATTAACAAATCCCAGATTTTAGTTTATTGATTTTAAAGGAATTAATCTTCTGGATTAACTTATTTCTACCAACCCTATTTTTTCTGCGTTTTCACAATTTTTTTTATTCTTTTGTTGCTTTTGCTGTTCATTGATTTTATTAGCATTCACAGGAGAAGTATTAGAATTAAATCTCCTAGCAGCACTTTGTCTTGCTGCTGGCATTAAAAGTAACTGAAAATCTCGTAATTCTTCAAATCCATCTTCATCATAATTAATATTATTATTTTCATTATTTTGTTCATCTTCTTCTTCTTCAAATTCTCCCTCCATTTTATTTTTTTCTTCTTTCCAATCATTCGCTAATAAATGTTGATTTTCGAACATTATTCCCGTTTTTGTTAATGCTCTTTCTTTGCTAATATTTTCTCTTTCTGTTGATGATAATCGCTTTTATTCTGTTCCAGACTTTTGTAGTAAAGGAGATAAACAGATATTATTTGTAGTGGAATGCATATATTTCTAGAGGCTATTTTAATTATTTTCTCATTAAAGAGAGAAGAAATAAATAATTTATAGAAAATCTGATTTTAATTAACTAATTAACTGAAATTTTAATATTATTCTATAGAAATGAGAGAGAAATAATAAATAATTAAATGAGTAAAAGTGGTTGGCATTATAATATTTATTTTAAAAACGAGTGGAGTTTGTCATGGAATTGTAATTAGATAAATATATAGTTTTTGATTGCATAAAAAACTAAAAAAATAAAACTTATTTTTTACAAGCTAAAGTATTTAGATGTGATTAAAACTGTAAATTTAATCGCCAAATTTGTACTCTTGTGTTATCTTCCCCCATTTTGTTTTTTTTCTCCTTTTTTTACTTTCTACACAAAAAGTATTGGACCCAATTCCAATGATGGTGAGTATCAGTACTTATATTTACTGATACAAATACGTTCACCGTTAACCAGAATATTTATGGGAATAAAGAGCAAAAATACCGAACCATTGGTTCTAGAAAACAGATCTGGGTACTTTTATTGCCATAAATCGGCATGATTAATTAACTGTATGTTATTTTGATCGGATTATTTTTCTGAAGAAAGGAAAAGAAAGGAGAAGAAAATTAAGGGGAGATAACACAAGAGTACCTGAAATATTTTGCTAATTAATATTTAAGTAAAAATTTCGGAAGTAACAAAAAGTTTTAATTTCTAAATTTAATTCTGTGATTTCGGGTTAAATATGAAATGTTCATATAAAATAAGGATATTTATTAGCAAATATATGTTTAATTGTAAGTTTACTGGGCATTTAATAAATATTATTTATTATTAGTGTGGCCATCATCCTTCCCTTTTCTATGTGAAAAGTGATATACATACTAATAAAAGCGTATTTTCTAATCGCCATTTTCTCTCAAGAAAGCGCCGCTGGCTTTAAGTGGACACCAAACAAGCCAGTCGATGTACATATAATCTCATATTACATTTTTCTACTAAAGTATTTATAAAGGTAAAAAGTAATAAAGGGAAGGAAAGGAAGAAAAAGCTAAACAAAATTCCTTAAAATATTTAAAAGTAAAGGATATATTTATTTATTATTAGCAACAAAACAACACAAGTTAAGTGGACATAAGAGAAAAAAAAAGAATTTGGCCCTTTTGTTTAACTGATAGGTAACTAAGAACAACAACAAATATATCCTCCCCACCTTTAAAATCGGGAAAGAAGAGAAGAAAGTAGCCACGTCCCACGGATTTATAGAATTTATATTTTAGTAGATTTTACTGGATATGAGAGGATATTATAATAAAAAAGGAAATATATATTGATTGGTCAGCCGGTCAGAAAATTATTTTATTTATTTGTCCAAAACCTTAGCTTAACCTATTGACTAAAAGCTAACTTAATAAAGGATAAAAACCTAAATTGTTTGGTTAGCCGGTGTACTAAGATGGCCCCGAAATAATAATAATTAAATCAGAAAATCTGGTATGGAATTTAGATTTAGAAAATTAGTTTTATTTTTAATTCAAAGCCGAGTCGAAATTACAAATTCTGGCCCTAAATTTTTCTGTTCGGTCTCGTAAACACGAAAAATTTTCAAACTAACAGTCCTAATTCGCTGACTTTGACCACTTGTATTTAAAATTTTTGGAGAAAGAAAAGAAAAAGCGAATAAGACGGGGAGATAAGGGAAGGATAAGTATGGTCTAAATTGTTTAATTAAATATTTTTAAAGAAAAAACTTGAAATAAAACTTAAAAATTAATGGGGATGTTTTTAATTTTCTAAAATAGAATCAATATTGTAAAAAATTTTTTTTAATATTTTGAAAAAAAGCTTCTGAGTGAATAATTCAAAATATACACATACATACGTGTGAATCAATCAACTAAAAATGAGGAAAGAATTAGACTGAAAAATTAGGGGAGGGGAAAGTGTTTGAAGTGGTGGTGGCCGAAATGATGTGTGATATATTAAATATATATTTATTAAATCTACTTAGTACATAAATGTTTTAAAATAAATAAATGGGGGAATGCGCATCAAAAAAAGGTGTGAATGTGTATAAATATTTAAAAAAAAACTAAGCACTTAAAAGTTTTTGCGTGAAATAAAAAAGGAAAGGAGGAGAGAAGAAAGAGGAATAAAATGGAAGAATAAGGAGGATTTGGATTTAAATATTGTGTTAACAAAATAAAGCTAGAGACTAGTTTGATATAAATTTTAATTTTTTAGTGTTTGATCAATAATCTCCCCCCCCCCCCACTCCCCAGACAAAAAATCACTCCCTTGAATTCAATATAATTAAATGAAAGTCCATATAATAATGAAGAATAAAGCTTTAACTTTCCTTTTTGTCATAAAAGACTACATAAATAATCTTTTGTTTCAATCTACAAATTTATTTATTTCCATACTTTTCATGTCCACCATCTCCCTTCCCCCATGTTTCAATAATTTTTTCCCAGTTCTGATTATTTTAAATTTTAATAAAAAAATGTAAGGAATTATTAATAAAAGCTTTTAATTTAAATAAAAATTAAAGAAAAAGCTAATATAATATTAATGTGAAAATATTTTTATTTAAAAATAATTTTCCTTTTTTTTCATTTTTAGAAACACTTAAAGAAAAGATTTTTTTAAATTTTAGTAAAAGATTAGTGTAAATAAAAAGCAAAAATATTTTTTGTTTAGAATTTTTAAAAATCAAAACACACACAAAAATATATATTTATTTACTTACCTTTAAAATATTAAATTGAAAATGTTTTGGCATAACATTTTGTTTAACCAAAGCAGTTACACTTTTTGATTTTTCTTTTATTTCTGAGGAGGTTTTGGAAATATTTTGATGTTTTTCAAAATTATTTGATTTTAATTTTTGTTCTTCTATATCTTCAACTTCTTCTTCAAAATATTTAATTAATTTTTGTTTTAATTTTTCCTCTTCCTTTTTGTTATTTTGTTTTAAATTTTCCTCTTCCTTTCTTTTAACCTCATTAATTTCTTCCTCTTGACCAAGGTCAACAACAATAACTGGCTTTGTACGAAATAAACTACTTCGTGGAGAAAGTCTATCATTTCTAGTAACAGAATTATTTGCAGATTTTATCTTTGAAGAAGAATTTTGTGTCGAATTTGCTTGAAGTAATTGAGAAGAATTGATATTTTGTTGTTGTTGTACAGCAATGCCGAAAGGTTTAGCGACTGTATTATTCTTTAAAATATTAATAATATTTATTTATTAAAAATTTGTCTGGATTTAAAAGTTTAAACAAGGACTGGCTTTGTAACTGGCTTTATGCGAAATAAACTACTTCGAGGAGTTGATCGTACTTTTTACTCAAAATTAGGTAAAAAGTACGATCAAAATTAGTCAGTTCTTTCGCATACTTAGAATTCCAAAAAATTTAGCATGTAGAGTTAAAAAATCTAAATTTCAATAATTCACTAAATAGAAAATTTAATGAACTTGTTTAATTTTAAAATTGAAAAAGATGGAGGAATTTTAAATTTAAATATTTCAGGTTATAATACTTTTTTATTCAAAATAATTTCAAACTTTTTTATTTTTCTGTTGCCTTTCCTCTAATTCATTAACTCTTGAAATAACAGTATTTGTTTGTGGAAAATTAGGAGATGAAGAATGTAAGAGTTGTTTAGCTGTTGGGAGTATTTTTCTTTGTTTTTGTTGTTTTTGATTTCCAAAAAAGAAAGGATTATTAGAAATTCCCCCAAAAAAACTATTTCCGGCAAAAACATTTTTTTGTTTAATTTTAAGTAATTGTTCTCTTAAATGGTGTTTAGGGGCTGGTTGAGGTAATTCTGCGATAGATGAGGATAAGGAAAATGTTGGTGAAGATTGTTTTTGTAATAATGAGGAAGAGGAGGATTTGTCTGCTTCTTCATTAATATTTACTTGGAGAGGATGAAATTGGTGTTTTTCAGAAGGAATTGTTGGGAAACGACCACAATTTTTAGTATTATTATCAAGACTTTCACTTTCAGAGTCCAATAATAATTGAGAAGTTGAAGATGTAGTTGCAGGGAGTTGTTGGTCGATTAGAAGGCTGTTTAAATAAGAATATAATGTTTCCTGAATTTTTTTCGGTTTCTAGGTTCACAATTTGAATAACTTTGAAAATTAAATACCTTGGGAAAGGTGTAATTCTTCCACAAGTATTATTATAGCTAAATGGAGAATTATTATTAGTTTTTGTAGATTGCTGTTTTTTGCCTTCCTGTGTTTTCCTCATTTCTAATAAAAAATTAGCTGTACGTACAGCTACAGATTCAACAGTTCCCAAATTATTTTCCAAATTATTTTTTACATTATTTATTTGTTGATCTTCAGAATTTAAATTATTTATTGCTGAAGAAGAAGGAGAGGAAAGGGATGATAGAGATTGTGAAGAAGGGGATTGTTGCTGTAATTGTTGTAGTTTTTCGGTAGCATTGTGACCGAGTAATAGCCTTTGGGAGGATAATGCTTCAGATGAAGAACGTGACTTGAGTGTCTAATGGAGAAAAGTATTAAAAAACTTTAGCAAACTGGTTTTTGGTTAATCCAATTTCGGTCTAAAACCGAAAATTTTGATATTTTTTGCCTTAAATTTTCATGAAAATTTAAAAGCCAAAACCACTTAAAAACCACCAAAGACAGAAATATTTTACTGAAACTCAAGACCGAAACCGGGTTTTACATAAAATCGGGATCAACTACATATCCTAGTTTGGATAAACGTACAGAAATCCAAAAATTGCTGATGTAGGGACTCTTTTGTTGTGCAGTTAATGGACGACGTGTTTGTTTAGCTGGATTGCTCCCTGATTCTTTAAAAGAAAATTTTGTATTATTTTGACAATTATTTGAGTAATTGTTGTTTTCACTGTTTATATTATTTTCATTAAATCCATTTATTAATTTAGAGTTATTTTGAAGAGAAGTTTTTTGTGGTATTTCTTTACTATTGTTAATTGGTTCACGCATTTTTGTGAAGGAAATTTGTTCAGATTTAAATATCAGTTTAAATAATCGTATCTTTATTTTAAAATTAAGAGTAATTAATTTAGAAAAAAAAATCTAAAAATATCAAATAAAGATATTAACCGGGAAGCACAAATTTATTTTTATTTTACCCAAAATCTAAAACACACGAAAGTTAAAATAAATTTTAAAAACTAGCTTGACATAAATCTTCAAAAATAGATCATGAAATTTGCAACCAATATTTCAAAGTTTTTATTGATTAGAGCTTAAAATCTCTTTTATTTTTAACGGTGATTTTGCTAGAAAGGTATTAGAAGAGGTAGTTGTTTGTGTGCCGATTCATTGGTGTTAATAAATATATCCTTCCTTCCTTTCTCTTTATTTTTTTGTTTGAATTAACTCACATGCGACGACTGCTGACGGTTGAAGATTTAAAAACTTGTGGCATTGATTGATACTTGGGGGGATCTTGAAGAAAGCGGCTGCTGCTGGGTGGTTAGTTGGTGTCTCTATTAAGGTTTTAAATCTTCTCTAAATTAAAGCAAGTGAAAAAGTGTTAATTTAGTAGATAATTTTTGTTTAAAGATGGGTAGGTAAATTGTGTGTTTATTAAATGATGGAAAATATTGAGATGGTATAAACAATGATTTTTTGATTAAAAGAAGAGCTTTTCTGTTAAGCTGGGGAAAGAATAAACAAAATTTCAGTTGTTTTTTATAGTTGATTAAAAAACTACAATAATCAAAATACAGGTAAATGATATTACATACACCTTCTTTTTCTTGCTTTTCCCCCTTTTCTTCATTGATCTACTAGAAAAACAAGAATATTATTTACTTTAAACATTTCCTGTATTTATTTACATCATTTTCTTCCTCAAAATGTTGATATATACTTCCCCCTCTAACAATTATTTTTTAACTAGGATGAAAATAAAAATAAGCAGTTGTCCCTAATAATAATGATGATTTTGTTTTGGTCATTGAATAAATACAAAATATTAAAAAAACAATTTTTATCTTGAATATTTTATGTTTTTTGCACATAAAAATATACAAAAATTTAATTAAGTGGATAACATTTCCCATTATTTAAATTAAAATATCTCCATATTTTATTTCAACGACTGGCTGGTTTAACTACTTTTTACAAATTTTATTTTTAAAATTTTAAATTATTCTTTGTAATATAACAATGCTCTATTTTTTAGTGTTCTTGATATATATTACGTTTTTAGGAGAAATGTGTAAACTCATTTTCAACAACAATTTCTTAAAAGATCAAAACTCCATGAATACCTAACCAAAAATTCTCAAATTTTGGTATCTATTAGAAAACACTCTAAAAATATATAGGTATCCAAACTTTATAGCTTTTGTACACTTTTAAAAAATTCTACAACTTTTTTTGCAAAGCGAATTTTTTTTTGAACTGACTTAGTAAAAAAAATTGAAGAAAAAGAACAACTTAAAATGTCTTTAATTAAAATACTTCAACTTACTAAATTTAAAATTGAACGTCTACATTTTTCAGCAATTTCGTGTAAAAGCAACCCAGCTTCAATTATTTTTTCTTTTGGTTTTTTATTTAAATCATTTCTCTGTTGTTTATTCCTTGGGGATTTTGGGGGTAAATAATTATCTAAATTTTGTTTTGGAGAATTTTTTAATTTTTCTTCTTTTTCGATTAAATTATTTTTTAATTTTGGAGAAGAATTATTTTGTTGTAAATTATTAAAATTAAGTAATAAAACTAAAGATTCTTCTAAAAATCGTTGGGCGTCCACATCTCGAATCTTTTAAAATTTAAAATATTTTTATTAAATTTAATTAAAAATTAAATATTACATTAAATAAGCTATTATTATCGTTTTCTTGCTCCATTTGTTGTAATGATTCCATTTCAAGTCTTGGAATTATTGATGAAGAATTTTCCATTTTTTATTAATTAAAATATGAAGAATAAATTATAGTAATTTATTATATATTTTAAAACTTTAATTTTTAAAAAGAATAATAAAAGCTTTAAAAAAGATCGAAAAAGCTAAAAAAAAATTTTTTATCAAAAACAGTTCAACTATTTTAGTGGAGATTTGATACTTAGGTATTTAATATTTTTGAGTAATATGTAATTAAGATAATATATCATTTTATAATAGCCTCAGTAAAGTTAAGCATTAAAATCATGCTTAAACTCGAAAAATCGGGGTGGAGTTATAGTTATGAAACAGAGCCTACATATTTTAATTATTATTTTAATAATGATTGAGATATCTTAAATAAACTTTTAAGAATATTAATGGAAATCATGGAAATATTGGAAATAATTAATGGAAATACATATATTTTAAGGGTTAATTTTAAAAATTTTATATTTTTGCTAAATATTTTATTTAAAAAAGACCAAAAATCAAAAATTATTTTTCTTTATATTTAAAAATAATTAAATGCCTTTAAATAATTATTTATTTTTAATTGTTATATTAAAATAAAAAAATAATTTTTAAAAGAAAAGTTGCTGGCTATTTTGTATCTTTTTTTAGTAAATAATTTTTAAAAATTAAAAATAAAAAGCTTTATTTTTAGTAAATGTTGGGGGGTTTTAAATAAATGGTTGCCAAATTGAATAGGTCTACCCCTCTACTAAAATAGGTAGAAGCAATATACCGTATTTCCTAAAATAGTACTCCCGGGAGTACTATTTTTCAACCCTCCTCCAAAGGGGAGTACTATTTAAGGGGGGAGTGCTAATTCAGGGGGGAGTATTATTTTTCAACCATCCTCCATGATTTTTCATAGGAAAATTTATTTCAAAATTAAAAAAAATATTTTAATTTATTTCAATTTATCTCAAAATAAATTCGATTAGAGTTCGCTATTTGAAAAATGCCGGATCCGGACCCTGATTTTCAAAAAATTTCTTTAATAAAAGTTGTAGAAAATATCCGAATTAGTATAAAATTGAGCAAATTGCGAGACAATTAAACACAAGTGACTTAAAATACGGGTTATTGAGGGAAATCAAAAAGGATATAAGTGAATTTGGAGTGATATCGAGGGATATAAGGGGATTTTCGGGTCTAAGATTTATCAGGGTCAACTAAACCCATGTGTCTAGGGATTACCTAATCTCTGTCTAGTTATTTATCATATTAAACACCGATATCCTCCACATCCCTTTTGTACTTCCGATATTAGTTGATTAAGAAGGATTTATGATTCAACTTATCGCTTAATCGCTCTTAATCAACCAAAATCGCCTAATATTACTCCCCCTTCATTATTCCCTCAAATTCCTATATCAAACCTTAATCCAATGATGTCTTTTAAATGCCACTTGATTAATACAGAACCCATTTTACACCCGATATCAATCCCTTTATATACCCAAAATCCACTTTTACTCCACCAATTAATCGGATTATATCTCTTTAATCCTCGAAAAATTTTAGTTTAAAATTTCGATTCGTTTTCGGTTAACCGAAAGCTCTCAGGTTTTGTTTATCAAAGAATCAAGTGAAACCGACAACGATACTTAGAATAAATAAAATAATTCAATGTCTCGTATTATTTTTTTAAATATGTATAGAGGAAAAATATTTTTGGGGGGAGTACTATTTTAGGGGGAGTACTAATTCAGGGGGGAGTACTATTTTTCAACCCTCCTCCAAAGGGGAGTACTATTTAAGGGGGGAGTGCTAATTTAGGGGGGAGTACTATTTCAGGAAATACGGTATTTATTTTCTCTTTTTTTATTCAAATACTACATTCAATTCTGAATTATTTTCAATTCATTGGGCACATGCTGTGAAATATTAAAATAAATAAAAAGAAAAAAGGGGAGTCTTTCAATAAATATAGGCAATTCCAAAAAAAACTTAAAAATAATATTTATGAATGACTTCATTTTGGCACAAAAGTTTTGAAAATTTAAAGCTGCAAGAATGGAGGAGGGAATGTCTTTTTGCCTAGATACATAATTTAGGTTGAAAATATTTCTAAAAACCCAAAAAAAAACTTGAAAATTTTTCAAAATCTTCTGTTCACTTTATTTTCTAATTAAAAATTATTTGAAAAAAATTAAAATTATAAAGAAATTTTAAAAATATTTAGGTAAGCATTTTAAAAGGCAAAAAGATGTACACCATAAATTTTAATAAATATATAATTTTCTTTTAAAAATTATTCACGAAAAAAGATGTTTCCATGGTTTCTATTTCTTTGAAAATAGGAGGACGAAGATTAAAAATATTTAAATTAAAAAATGTTTGTACTTTTATTGGCTATAAAATGGAGTAAAAATTATTTTGAAGCGTGAAAGAACACAAAATTATTAAAACCTTTTAAGAGATAACTTTTAATTTGTATTTGTCTGCTTATGTCTACCTTTTCATATAAGTAGATATTAAAAAAATATTATTCATTAAATATTTATAAATGGCAAAAAATTTTATTTATTTTTTTGTGGTTAACACGTCATAATTGAATTTAACGGCAAACCCTAATTTGCCTTTTTTTAATCTTTAATATGTATTTATTCATAGCTTCAAAGGATATAAAGACAGTAAGAACTAACTTACAAGAACAGGTGCTCGCCCTGATTGGGAGGGCAGGTCTAGCTTAAAACTTGAGGCAGAAGGCAAATATGATTGCATAAACCTATTCGACTTAACAAAAACTGTGCTTCTTAATTTTAAAAATTTGCCTAAACAAAAATTAAGCTTAAAGAAACAACGCAAAACTTCACTTTTTGGATAATTTTATAAAATATTAAAATTTGAGCGGGTTATTTTTAAATATACTCGTACAAAAATAATTAAAATTAAAAATTAAATAATTAAAATTAAATTCTTCTCATTTCTATTATTCATCATCTATATTTATTAATTTTCCTTCAGGTACGTAAATGTTGTTATGATTTGTTGAGATTTCTTCCTCATCCTCTTCTTCGTCCCATATTGTTTTTGGAGTTATTTGTTTTATTGACCTACTCCTTTCTCTAAAAAACACTTTATTTTCATGTCAAATTTTTAAAAATATTTTTTAATAAATTAATTTATATTCATATTAAATATCGACATGAGCGTAAAATAAAGATACCCCTCCCCTCCTCTCAGTTATACCAATTGAAAAATAATTTTTAAAATTTTTTTTCACTAGATTTAGAGGGCAACAATCTAACTGAAAAATAATTACTAATTTTAATTAGCGCACCGGCTAGAATCTTGATTTACTGAGTTATTTTTGGTGAAAGAAATATCAACAATAGGTTGTTCATTTTTGCTCTTTTCTGTTGTTATTTGATTTGTGTTGCTTTTAGGTAGAATAAATTCTTTTGGCCTTGCTTATTTTAAAGATAAAATGTAAGTTTTGTGGTAATAGTGTCGTTTCCCAGCCCCATTTTTTCCTCCCAATTTTCTACCCTATGTTTGTACGGAATGGTCAAATTTTCCCCTTTCTTTCATCAAATTTGCCTTTCCATATTTTGCCTAAAAACAATCAAAAAGATTAATTTTTTATTCAATTCTTTCACAAGGATAAAAAAGTGAGACATGATGCCAAAAATTATAAAAACATTTTCAATATTGCCAAATCGTTTTCGCCACAGAAATTCCGGGAGATAACTTTTATAAGTTTCAGTTCTCTTTCCATGAAGAAGTCCAAGCTTCTCAAGCCATGCATCGAAATCATTATTACTCAAACGTAATTTTTCATATAAATCAATAGGTTTGAAATTCTTTAGTTCTTCCATTTTTATTAATTGGGAAAATGATTCTTCTCATGGTTCCGTGACTTTTGCGCCGAGAACATTTGCGCCGCGACTCTTGCGCCGCGACTTTTGCGCCGCGACTTATGCGCCGAGTGACTTTTGCGCCGGGGAACCTTTGCGCCGCGACTTTTGCGCCGGGGGCATTTTTTTTTGCGCCGGGGGCATTTTTTTTCCGGCATTTTTCGGATCCGGATTTTTTAAACAATGGCGGCGCAAATGTCGCGGCGCATAAGTCGCCCGGCGCAAAAGTCGCGGCGCAAGAGTCGCGGCGCAAAAGTCGCCCGGCGCAAAAGTCGCGGCGCATAAGTCGCGGCGCAAATGTTCTCGGCGCAAAAGTCGTGATACCCTTCTCATTACTCTAATACTTTTTTAAATATCACAAATTAATCTTTTTTATTGTTTTTAGGCAAAATATGGAAAGGCAGATTTGATGAAAGAAAGGGGAAAATTTGACCATTCCGTACAAACATAGGGTAGAAAATTGGGAGGAAAAAATGGGGCTGGGAAACGACACTATTACCAGTTTTGTTTGTTTAAAAAATAAGATTTTTGCGATTTAGAATGTCCAGCAGGTAATTTGATAATTTTTACTTTGCTTAAAATCAGAACCCCTCTTTTATTGGAAGTTTAATTATTTATTTGTTTATCTCACAAGGGAACCACTCGAACTGTGATCAAAAATTTTCAATAAAGATTATACCATCGTCTTTAATAATAAAAACGAGGGTGACTCAATCGCTCCAAAGGTACTTTATGGATATGTCACCCCCCCCTCCTATTTTGAGTCTCAGAGTTTTCCTTAAACGTAGAAAATGGTCAGAGATTATTTTCTTCTCCATGTCAATCATTTTTTTCTTCTTCAAGTATTTTACTTGTTTATTTTGCCTTTTCACATATTTTGTACTTACATTTCACTCATTTCGTTTATACATTTACCACATTTGCTTGAAGAAAGAAAAATGATTGACATGGAGAAGAAAATAATCTCTGACCATTTTCTACGTTTAAGGAAAACTCTGAGACTCAAAATAGGAGGGGGGTGGCATATCCATAAAGTACCGCTCCAAAATACTGAAAATTTGATCAGCTATAACTTTTCGATTTGGAGGTCGGAGCAAAAAAGCCAAAAATTGGCAATAGGTTATCGGCCATGCTCTACACGATGGTATAATTTTTATTTGAAAATTTTTGGTCATCGTTCGAGTGGTTCCCTTGTCAGGATTATTAAAAGCTGAACACCTTCCCAATAATAAGTTCCAACTCCGGAAAAAACAATTTAAATTAAATCTATCACAGTAAAAATTCTTTTAATCTCTACCTTTTTTTAAAGTATTAATTTCAACATTTTCTTGTTTATATTTCTCTTCTTTTACATCGTTTTTCTCCTCTCCTTTTCCAGAATCAGATCCCCTAAAATCTTGATATTCTTCTTCTTCCTCCTCTTCCCTTCCATTATTTTCTTCTACAAAATCTTCATCAAAATAGTCATCCAACCCTTGTGGTTCCCCCAATCCTTGAGGATTTCTTTGATGTGAATTTTTGTTTAAATAATTTCCAAATTTATTGCCGTGACGTGGATGCACATATCTTCCTCTGGTATCGAAAAAAATCCTCAATAATTTAAAATAAAATTTTAAATTTAAAAGGAAATAAAAATTACTAAATAGAAAATATTTTAAAATGAATTATGTAGAAAATGTTAGCTTATATTATTTGTAAAATTAATTAAATTTATTTTTAGTTTTCACAGACCGATTTAAAGGTTGAGGGGGAGCATTATTATTCGAAGCAGCCATAACATGAGCATATTTTCTTAACATTCTTGCTTGCCTAAAAAATATTCAAAATTTTTAAAATTATCTTTGTTGAATTATAGAACAAATAAAATTCCGAAACAATTAAATTTGCCACAAATTATGAAATTCTTTCCTTGATTCCCTTTAATTCGACTCCAAATTTTCACTAATCTTATTTTGACTAGTAAAATACTTTTCAAAAAAACAAACTCGTTTTCCTTGTGTCTATTCCATTGTTTTTGTTGTTCATAAATTAATTTATATTTATCATCTGGTCTAGCCTTATATATTTTTGCATTGTCTAAACTATCTTTGTCTTGTTGTATAACTACAAAATTTTCAAAGGCATCAGATTCAATTAATTCTTTAAATGTAGAATATCCTAGTTGATTTGCTTTGTCATCAGCATTTATGTTAAAATCATCGCTTAAAAATAAAAATTTTATTTTTATTAAATTTTGTTTTTGTTCTGACAGTCAAATATTCTTAACGAGATAGTGGACAGGTAAAATATAAAATCAAAGACAATATTCAAAAGTAAGCAAAATCAGAAAAAAAAATCAGACTCAAGTTACACCTTTCGAATATTATTTGTCAAATCCCCCGAAAATTACAAAAAAAGTTCAGAAAAAATCGAACAATACCAAAAAAGTCTATAGAAAGACAATATATCAAAATTAAAAAAAACAAACTGAATGTCAAATTTTAGATCAGCTAATCGATATCCTTCATATTTAGATCCAAGTGTTTGATGTACTTTCTTGGCAAAATCGTGTAATTCTTGCAATGTGTCGGACATTCTCTTAAAAATTATTTCCTTATATTCCAAAAATTTAAAAATTAAATTGAATTTTTAAAAATCAATCAAAGAAAAAACAAAAAAAATTTTTTTAAATTATTTTATTTCTTTAATTTAAAAAATTAAATACATTTTAGAATAAAAATACAATTTTTAAATCACTTTTAGATTTGAAGGAAAATAGAAGATAGGAATTGGGCAAAGTGAAAAATAAAGGTAAAAAACAAAGGAATGGAATGGAAAAATATATACAAAATGGAAATTAGGAGAAAATAAGTATAAATTTTCTATAAATATATTTATGAAAGCAGAAGCAGTGAAAATAAATATATTTTCTGTTAAGGAATTAAAATTAACAAAAATTCTTTAAAATAATTAAATTGAAAATAAATTCAATTATTTTTTAAATTTTAAAAGAAATTTTGTCGTTTTAAGGGAAAATGAAAGAAAATTTGGAAATCGATCGCTAAAAATTTTTAAAAAAATAAAACTTAAATCATCCATTAATTAATAAAATCTAATATAAGTCCCTCTAACTATAAATCATGAAATAAGCACAATTATTATTGAATAAAATTATGGCAAAAAATTACAAAAAAATTGATTAAAATTATTTTTAGGAATCAAAAATTTTATAAAATTTCGAATTCAATATTCCAGAATTTTACAAAAAATAATTTCTTACATTCTTGAAATAAAAATTAAACAAGGAATTTTCAAAAATAATTTATTTAATTATTTTAATCAATTTTTAAACAGAAAAAGGAAGGGAAAAATTTGGAAAGAAAAAACTGATATACTATACCCTTTTGCGTTAATATAAGCCATTTATTGACGTTGAAGCAGAGGCCTTTGTTCAGATTGACTATTGCCATTTATAGTGGTATTGGATGTTGTAGAGGATGGAAATTGCCACAAAGAAGATCTATAATCCTTATAACGATGAGCAAGAACAGGAAATGAGCCAGTAGAAACAACAACCTTAAAAAGAAAAAATTTTTAAAAAAATCAAACGAAATTAATGAAAAAATTAGAGCTTATTTGGGATTTAAAGAATCAAAAAATATAGAAAACCTCGTTTTCACAAGTAAAACAATGCATTCGCCGTCTTCTGATGCAACAGAAGAGTCCACATGGAAAGCAAAGTATTCCCCATAATAATCCTCGAAATGTAAATTGTCCTCTAAGACTTCGTCGACACTGTGGACATATTCTAGCCATTTAAAAATTAATTTTGTGATTTAGTCATTGGAGAACAGGAATATATAAGTAAAAAGTGCACAGAGTTAAACTATCTAAAATTTAGAATTTATATAGTAAATGTCAAATATATGTAATAAAGCTATTTCAGAATAACATCATTGTCTTAAAAAATCATCCTCTCCCCGCTAGAGATGATCAACGAAATCAGAAACTAATAATTCCCTAAAATAATGACAAAAAAATACATAACATTATTAAATGTTTATGAAATGAATCAATTTAGACTTTGGAGAACAAAATACCAAATACGAATAAGTCTAACGAAATACCAACATGAAATAAAATATCAGAACGCCAAATGTAGGAAAAATTACAAAATATCAGCAAAGGACGTGAAAAGGTGACACGACAATTGTACATTGGGACAATTGTACAGTGGATTATAGAGATTGACCAAAGTTGTTTTAAACGAAAAGTTATAAGCAAGTTATATTAGCTGATTTTAGTGCAATCGACTCACATCAACTCGACGAGCTCATTCAAATGAGTTATCATTTATATCAGTATTACATTTTGTTAGACTTAGTAAATTTTGTACTTGGTAAATTTACTGTGGACTTGCTAAATTTTTTTCACTCTGTTTTCAACAATTCACCTGCTTAAACAAATAATAAGTAATAAAAAACAATCAACAGCTCATTCCATAAAAGAAATTAGATGTTCATGAGAATAAAAATATAAACAACTCCATTTAGTCGTATTTATCCCTCCAACAACCATTTTTAAATCAAACAAATTGGAAACTTTATGATACCTTCCATACTAATTCTTATCTCCTACGTAGGCTTACTTGACTCCCAACAATTTAACTTCTTGTCCCTTTTCTTACAATATCCCTATAAATTGCAAAAATATTATATTTTTTTCCCTTTCTTTATAAATATTTCTACTTTTGTATATAAATATTTATAAATTTATTGTTTGGTGGAAATAAAAAGAAGAAATTTTTTTTGTTTCCAGTCTTTTCGCGAAAATTTACACAAAAATAATAGGGATTGCGCGATAACAAAGAATATAGAAGCACTTAAACTCTATCTCTCCCTCCCTCTCCCTCCCTCTCCCTCTTCCATTCATCTTTCAATAAATACAAAAGCTTTGACGGAAAATTTATTTTTAATTGTGGTTATTATTTACTATTTTGTGTCAACTTCTGCCAGTCTTTCTCCCTTTTTCAAAACAAAAAAAATCATCCCAATCTCTCAATAAAACTATGCCATTTATTAAAATTTATATTTATTTGCTCTAAATATTAATTAGGATAATAAAAAAATTTTCTTTATTACTATCTACAATTACTGAAAAATAATAATAAACTAGAAATTTAGTTTAAATTTAATGAATTTTGTTTAAATCTGTCACTTCCATTTCTATCACAACATTAAATAAATAATTAATTTAAAAGAAAGCTTTTAATCAAAATTTTATGATCGTTGCCCTTTTTTCTTTAAATTAGCGAGAAGTAAAATAAAATAACTTTAATTTTTATTTTTCGACCTTCAAAAATTCTTTTTCTCGCTATCTCATTTTAAATTTTTAAAATTTAATTGCTTGGATATTTTCGATAAAAATTGTTTTTATATAATTTATATTTAATCTTTTTCTAAAATTTGACAAGAAAATTGGGGTTTTTGTGGAAAAAAATATTTAATTTCTGTCTCTTAAAAATTTAACTTTTTATTAACAGAATAATATTTTAAAATTAATTAAATTAAAATGATAATCGGTATTCGTACCTCAACAACTTTTTTTTCCTTCTTGTAAGTGGAAATTATGGAAATATTAAAATTAAAAAAATATTAACATTATGGAAATAATAAATAAAAAAATAATTTAATTAAAAAATAATTAATTTATTTAAAAGTCTCCTCTTCATTGCAAATTCCCCCTCTTTTGCTGAAAAACAAAATCGTGCAAAACGTTTTGCTGCATTTGGTTCTTTGGCTACAATTGGGGGAAAAGTTGGATGTGTTGTTTCGGTTATTTTTAATTAACAAAAAAATTTAAAAAAATATTTTCTTTAAGCAAAACAAATTATTTATTAACGGACATTTTGTAAAAGATTTGGATGTTGATGAACAGAGTGAATTGAAGGATTATCAAGTATAAATAAATATTAAAAATATTAAATAAAAATTAAATTAAGGCATCTCTTGATGAATTTAAAACAAAGGTTTAAAAGAATAAAAATTAATTAAAATAAATTTTTATTATTTTTTTATACTAAACAATTTTTGGAGCAACGTCAAAAGCAAGTTAGTGGGGCAACTCAGCAAACTAAAAAGCCTGAACCACCCAAAAAAGTGATATACATACATATTAATTTTTACAATAAATAATTTTATTTTAGCCAAGTTTCTGTTCAGACAAGGCAACAACCCAATATATTTTCGATGGATGTTCAGTACAAGGAGACAATATTTATATTGGGGATACTTTTGTACGTAAATTAACTGCTGATGAACAACGTGAATTGGAACAATTTGATGCCAAATTTAGTACCTACCAAAAAGCTGCCACAGCTGATTTCCGTAAAGTAAGGGGAAGGAAAGAAAAAGGAGAAAAAGATTGTTTTTTAATTAAATTTAGAAAGTTCAATCAGCATTTGGGGAACATTTTGGATCATTATTTGGTGGATTTATAGGAGGAGGTGGAAGTGAGGATGAAAAAGAAAATGACAGTTCTGGTGGAAGTTCACTTGCAAATTTGGAGGCTCCAAAAGCCCCAAACCTTTGCACTTTAATTATTTAAGGAAATAAAGACTCGAAAAAAATTAAAGAATTAATCTATTAATAATTATATTTTTTTGTTTTTTTAATTAAATTAATAATGATAAAATAGGCAATTAAATGGAAGTCTTTTATTAAAATTATATTTTTATAAAATTCAAAATAAAATCTTTTTTAAAAATTTTAGAAGTACATTTAAGATACCGGATTTATTCTAAAATAACCACTGTTTCTAATATAACCACCTCAAATTGATGGAGTCAAAAACCACATGTGTTTCTATTAGAATAAATCCGACAACTCTAAAATAAAAAATAATCTAATAAATTCTTTTTTTACATAATTAATATCCCCGTTTTATAATAATTTTGTTTAACATTCCGCCGTTCTCTATTTCCTTCACATCTACAACAATACATTTTTGTATTTATGAGAGAAGGTTGGCATTCATAATTCTTTAATTATTTAATACGAAAAATTTTAAAATTTATTTACATGCCTGAGGGCATTCATCCTTTGTTGTCCCATCACATTCTATAGACCTTCCATCTACCTCATCAATTGCCAGTAAAGACCCTTCTCCACAAATATTGTCTTTCTGTTCATTACTATCAGAATAAGATCTTGAAGTAGAACGTCTATGAACTACTGGAAAAGGATGACAACAGACATTTAGACCCACTCTGTTGGAAGGGGAACAAACATAACTTGGTGGACATTCAGAAACTTGTCCAAGATTAGAACAATAACGAATATATTGCCCAAGATAAGCTTTATTAAATTTAAATTTGTTTTTTTAAATATTCAACACCTGGTATTTGTCCGTTTGAACAAAGTAATTCTGTAGAAGAAGAACTTGTAGATTTACTAATGCCAACATCTGTTGACATTGAAGGTAATGTATTTGTACCACAACAAACATACACAGCCGGCTATTATGGAAATGAAAATTATTTTTTTTAATCATGAATAGCCCCATAAAATTTTGGAAATTTCAAAAATATTTCTTTCTTTATAATTTACATATTAATTACTAACAACAGAGGATTGCATACAAGTATAGCCATTTGGACAATGATTGTTGTTTTGCCCTGTTGATAATGAAGGTGAAAATATTGTCTGTTGTTGGCGAAATAATCCACCGAATCTATCCGCAGCAGGAGGTGGAGAAGCATTGCTGCTAATTTGTCTAGCCGCGATAGAGCAAAGTCTTGGACTGTTATTCACCATCAGAGTAGAATAAGCTTGGGGGCATTGAATAGGGGAGGCTAGACGACAACACATAAAAATACCCTCGACTGATGATTGGGCGCATGAAAACCCTTTAATTTTTAAGGAATTTAAACATATTAAAATCTAAAATTAAAATCACCATGTGGACAAGTCATGTCCAATGTGTCTTGACAGAAATGGTGAGCTCCCTGAAATATTAGAAATTTTTTCAAATGAACTTTTTGACTTAGCCAGAGGAAAACTTTCTTGGTTGATAAGAATAACTTCAGTTATTCCATCTATTTTTTAAATAATTAACCCGATGATCTTCATAAGCAGACCAGCCAAGCGGGCATCCTAAATCTTCAATTGGAGGACGAAATGTGGCAGAAGATGAAGATGGTGGTACAAATGGAGGTGGGGGAATATCGGTTTGAGCTTGCGGCATTGGCGCTCCACCCGGCAAAGGAGCATCCATACGACGGCAACAAACATGCATGGCAGGCACATTTGAAAGTGCACATTCGAAACCACTTGGGCATTGACTGTAAAGACTCATAGGATTACATTGGACGGTTTTGCCTGATTAAAAATAAATTTCAAATAAATTCTAAAATATCATACCAAATTCTTGGTGATAAGTTTCTCGTCCATCAGCACAAACAATTGCAGAATTAGGAGGGCCACAACAAACATACAAATTATTTAAAGTATATGAGAGTTGACAAGTATAAGAAGACTGGAAAAGTTTTGATATATACTAAAATGAATTAATTTAATTTTACTTTACTACAAGGTGCACCAGGTCCAGAGCACTGTTCAGGTTGCCCATTTATTTGAAGAAGAGCATGCTGCCCTGGTTGAGGGCAAATCCTTCTATAATAAATTTTTAGTTAATTAGTAACAAAAATTTTTCTAAAGACAAAAAAATCACCCAGGTTCTCGACTTTCACAGCATAGATATGTGTTTGCACGATTTTCGGCAAGTAAACAATCAGCATCTGCAGGACACATAGATAAATCAGATGGAGAACAATATATCTACAAAAATCTTCAATCCATTCAATAATAGTTTATTTAATTACAGGATTTCCACTTCGTAAATCCAAAGAAGAATCAAAACCGGAAGGACAAATAGGTTGTGCAGGCAAAGAACAGCAAACAAAAATGCCTGGCTGCCCTATAGCTTCCTCACAGGAATAGCTTTTTGGACAATTTGATTGAATTGCTGACGGTGAACAAAACCTTGGACCAGACCCATCACGAAAAAGAACTTGCTTTAATTTAAATTTAAAAATAAGGGGAGAATTTAGAGAGTTTACTTGATTTGGACAAATATACTGTGCATTAACAGCTGGCCGAGCATTTTTTGGTCGTGAACAACAAATACTCTGTTCTGGATCGTTTTTGGACTGTACACATTGATAACCAGGTTTGCACTGGTCTGGAAGTAGAAGTTCGCATAATACATAACCAATTGGTGAACGTTCTGGACTCATTCCGTCTGGACAACGTGGAGAACTTTGTCTAGCTTTTCTACAACAAATCATCATTGCAAAAGCATTCATGGCAGACTGACTTCAAATTTTATTTTCATTTAGTATATTCCTCTGATATTGTAAAAATATTTAAATCACAGAAAAAGGAATTTTTAAAATGTTTGCATAATTTTTTTATAAAATTATAAAAACACCATGAACTTCCAGGCGGACAGTTCTGGCCGGGTAATTCACAAAATAAATTTTGTCCTTGTCTAATAACGGGAATTTGTGATGAACTTGGACATCTAAAGAATGCTTTAGAGTCTTGATTACGATGTCGATGATCAATTTGTGAAAATTTTCTATTAGTAGATGATGCCGAGAAAGCAATGTGTGGAGTCAGCCTTTCAGAGCAGCAAACACCAAAAGTTGTATATTTGTGGGAAGAAGTCTCTCGCAAAGGTTGACATATAAAACTAAGAAAACGGATATGAAAATATCCTGTTAAATATGAATATAATTATTATACCCTGATCTGCATGGAATTCGCCTATCCAGTGTACAACGCCTAAAATAAATTTTTAAATTTATCCAAATTATAAAAAAAGTAAATTGAAAAAAGTATTTAACAAAAGTATATCTTTAATTTACTGTTGGGAAATTTTTGAAGAATTTTCACACATTATGATTAATTTTCAATTATTATATTTTAATTAATTTTTTTATTATTTCTATTTTATTTTACTTTCACTAGTGAGTCGAAATTATCAAAATTATTTTTGAAATATTTTACAACTAAACAGTATAATTATTTTATTTATTTTATAATTTGTATAAGAAAATTATTTAATAATATTTTATTAATTACCTAGGATTGCCATCTTCATTTAAATCCATAACATCGTCAATATCAAAACAAGCAATTAAAGGAATATTATTTTTATTATTACTCCTCTTATTTTGTTTCCCTGTTGTGATTTCATCTTTATCTTCTTCCTCCTTTTTATCATAATAATCTACATAATCATTATCATTTAATTTATCCTCCTCTTCCTCATTAACAACTGGACTACAACAAATAAATTGTTTTGTAATTGGTGAAAGAATACAAGAAGCATGACCAGGACAATGATTACCGGTAGTCATGGATGGATGACAAAACTATTTTCAAAATTTAATTAATAAACAAAACCAGATAAATTTAAATTAATATTTTTACTTACAATATTTAAATGCTCATAAGGTTGCCAACCTTGTGGACATAAATTTAAATGTCGTTGCCTCTTCCTATAACTTAGATTGACAGATTTACTGCTTCCACTGCAACATATAGAAATTCCAGAAATGTTGCTAAATGTTTATTTGTAATTACTAGCGGAGTTGGTCGGCCTTCGGCCGCCCCACCCCGCTAGCAAAAACAAAACAAACCAAAAAACAAACTTCAAATCACAACCTCAAAATTGGCCCTAATCCAATCATAATCAGAAAAACCCGATAGTCAAAACATTGACCAGCATTAAAACAATACCTTATTACCAAAACATTTAACAAAGCAAAGCATCTAATAGGCGCACCTGATAGGGTACACACAGGCGCTCGTGTGACTCCGCTAGCATAACAAAACAATTCAACTCAAGATCCGATTCAAAAGCCTTTGGCCGGCCCATCTCGCTTACCCATTTTTTCTCCTCACAATTTCGCCTGCTTCACAATTCCCTCTGTTTCAATATTCCGCCTACTTCTCAATTCCCATTGTCTCACAATACCGCCTGCTCTACAATTCTCCGCTTCACATCACCCTTCATTCTCCTGCTTCAATATTCCGCCTGCTTCACAATTCCCCTGTTTCAATATTTTTCCTGCTTTACAATTCATTTTGTTTCAATATTCCGTCTGCTTTACAATTCCCCTTGCCTCTCACAATACCGCCTACTTCACAATTGCACCTGTTTCAATATTCGACCTGCGTTACAATTTCCCTGCTTAAATATTCCACCTGCTTCACAATTCCCCCTTCTTCAATATTCCGCCTGTCTCACAATTCCCGGTTTCAATATTCGACTGAAATTTGACGCCTAGCACTTCAAATGAACGTTGACGCCTGGCGCTTCAAATGAACGTTGACGTCTAGCACTTGACACATGAACGTTGACGTCTAGCACTTGACACATGAACGTTGACGTCTAGCACTTGACACATAAACGTTGACGCCTAGCACTTAACAAATGAACGTTGACGCCTACCCCTTAACAAATGAACGTTGACGCCTGGCACTTCAGGTGACGTTGACAGCTAGCGCTTGACACATGAACGTTGACGTCTAGCACTTGACAAATGAACGCTGACGCCTGGCACTTCAAGTGACGTTGACAGCTAGCACTTGACACATGAACGTTGAACGTCTAGCACTTGACACATGAACGTTGACGCCTGGCACTTGACAAATGAACGTTGACGCCTGGCACTTCAAGTGACGTTGAACGTCTAGCACTTGACACGTGAACGTTGACGTCTAGCACTTGACAAATGAACGTTGACGCCTGGCACTTCAAGTGACGTTGAACGTCTAGCACTTGACACGTGAACGTTGACGTCTAACACTTGACACATGAACGTTGACGCCTGGCACTTGACAAATGAACGTTGACGCCCAGCACTCAAGAGGACACAGGACCCCAGCAAACGTAGTCGTAGAACAGAGCACGGCAATGTTGAGAAGTGTTGGTAGCAGTTGAAGAATGACCAAAATACCCTGCTTTTATACTATCTTCTTACCCTTACAACCTAATTCAACTGGCAAAGCTTTACTATAAAAACCCCCATTTTCTCACTCCCCCAAATCACTTTACTATAAAAGCCCACTTGTCTATAAAAGGACAGACAAACGGACAAACTCTTCTCAATTATATAATTAGATAGGTGTATAATGGATGGTTAATTTAAAAATTTTTCTAATTTTTCACTTATCAGATAATAAAAATGAACCTGGCTTGACAAAGCATGTCAAGTGGACAGGTGATAGGATTTTGAAGCTATAAAAATATTTTAAGCTCATCCTGTTTAAAAATTAAAAAATTTACGTCACACCGGAGGGGATTCTGTTCATTTGGGAATGGCAAACCGGAGGCAACACATTCAAAACTTTGTGCCATACAACAAATTTTCTGTCCTGTCAACAAACCGCTAAGAGGATCAACTGATTCACGACATTTTGAATCCGCCGGACATTTCCTTTTAGAAATTGTTTTCATAGAAGATGACGAACAAAGTTGGACACGATCTTAGAGATATATTAACTTTAATGAAAGATATATATTATTATTAAATAAACATTCGATTATCTGAACATCATATAGAATTCATGTCCTTTCATTTAATCTCTCATTTATATTAAATCACTCAGTATAAAGAAAAGAATCGCCTAAAATTTCTAGAAGAACATGGGGGATTTGTATGTATACCGTATTTTCTCGAATATAATTTTTCACACTTATTCAACTATTTTGAGGATGAAATGAATAATTCACCAACAAAGAATTATTATTATTATTTACATTTGCCATGTTTAGACCAGGTTCGTTCAATTTCTCACCTTGTTCATCAAAAACAGGATGTTCACCCGCCACTGGGCACTCTCCTGGTGGACCACAGCATAAATGAGTATGTAAGTTACAACGTCCCATAGGTGGGCAGTCGACATCTGATGAGCAATAATCTTCTCTATCGCTTAATTTGTAGATAATCTCGCCTAGAGGGCATTCTTGTTGCAGATTTTTACTTTCACCTGTTGCTTCTTTTATATGTTTTTGAACAGATTGATGGTGTCCTTGTTGAAGAATTTTTACATATTTTAGGCATTAGTTTTTACCTAATTGATTATTCTGTCTACAGCATTGGTAAGAAGCAGTCCAAAAATTAAATCGACAAATAGCCTCATCGGGACACAATAAAGGGGTTATTGGCGAACAGGAGATAACATTTCCTTTCGCATCAAACACGGGTATTTCTTCGTGTAAACAGCCTAAATGTGTAAAATAGATAAAAGATATACAGAATATATCTACCATTATCTGCTTCACAACATTGGAAACGATCAATGTCGAAACTCCACTCACAAATTCCATTCCCGGGACATTCAGCTGTACCAGGTAGACAAAGCAATGTGCTACCATTTAAATGTTTAAGAGCCTTTTGTCCCGTACCACATCCATCACTAGGGTCTTTACCACAACAGCGAAACTGTTCAGTATTTATTGAATCTTGATAGCATAGCGCACCACCTGGACAACTTCCTGGTTTTAACGGCGAACAATTTAGCAAATCTCCATTTTTATTGCGTAATTGTCGAGTTCCTCTTTTAAAATTGTATATAAAATAAATTATCGACATAGTTTCCTACTTTGGACATCCGATTGGAGGCACTTCCTGATTCAATGGGAAAATACAACAACTTTTAATTTTAGTTAAGCATTTAGCCGGTGGAAGACAATCTAAATCATGTAGACAAATCCGCGGCTGACCATTAACTGTTAATATTAAAGTTAAATTGATTCTCTTTTTAATGTCACCATCGGTTAGCTTAATTCGAAAAGGAATTTAAAAAATTTTTCCAACTCTTATAGAAAGTAGAAGCTTGTAATTAAAAACTAAGTTAAAATTAACTCATTTGGAAACGTCCTTCTGGTTCACAACTTTCTATAAGGTTTATATTCAATAGAAAACAAGTCCAGAAGGATTTAATAATCAAGGTAGAAATAATATAAAATAAAAAGTAAAAGTGATTATTATAAGAATTATAAATTCGCAATAGCATTGCTTAATTCCATCGAATTATCCCTGCTAAATTTTCATCAGCAGCCATTCTTTTTGTTAGCAAGCATTCAAATAAAATATTTTATTTAATCTATTTTTTTATTTGAAAAAAAATTATTAAAGACTTTGTTTAGAAATAGAAGGACTGCGCAAGAATAGCAAGATCTTTAAAATTTAGATAGTAGAGATGTGCAAATGAATGAGGGATAAACAAATGGAGACTGGCCCTAAACTGGCCTTCTCTTGAGTGCCCCCAACTCAAATTTGTGTTGGTAGTTTTCTTTGCTAATTCCCTCTTAAATTAACGAAAGAAGTGGACGGCAACTGACCATCCATCTAATACTTGTATTTGTTCTGTTAATAATTTTTGAATAGCAATTTTTCCATGTTATAAAATAAAAAGGGAAAACAAAGTGCATAATCAGTATAAAGAAGCAAATAATAGCAGAAGTTTCACTAATTTAAAGATAATTTTTGTTGGAAATATTTTAGTAATAAATACATATCAGGTATATATCCGGATACAGACGGATATGGATAATGTTTTTTGATGGATACGGATGAGCACGGATATGATATTCCAAATCCACGGATATCCATCTCAAAATTTTCGCCTCGACACGAAAAATAAGTTCACTTTAATCTATTCAAATCCCACGATATCCTCTTAATCACCATTATCAGACAGTAGCACATAATTGCACCCAAACGGGTGGCACTGAACTGGCTTTATGCAATTTTTAAAAAATGGGTACAGCCCAAGTGGCTCCGGTACAAAATATGGAATCGTTAAAATATGGAATGGTTAAAATCGCGAATAGGCTAAAAAGGGGTTAAAATACCGAATCGTTAAAATATGGAAACGTTAAAATATCGAATCGGGTAAAAAAGGGTTAAAATATGGAATCGTTAAAATATGGAATGGTAAAAATGTCGACACGGCCAAAATCTGTCAAAATGTCGAATTCTTTTAAAAAAGGGTCAGATGAGTGCCATACGTTGATTGTAGATGATTTTATCAACTTATTAATGATAAGTTGATTGATAAGTCTCTTATGTCGTAGTCCGGCGCAATCTTTTCTGCCAGAGTTCATTGTATTTTACCGAGTAAAACCGGACCGGATAAATCAAGCATAATCGACCGGATCCGATCCGGCATGATCGTACGGATCCGGAAAACATAACGCGATCCTGATATGGAAAAATTAGAGTGGTGTGCATTAGTTTTTAGTTAAGACCTAAAGTTTGACCATACCGTATACGGTACGAAATACCGAAAAATACCGATCAGCTTTTAAATTTTATCGGTCGGATTCCGTACCGTACTACCGACACGGAATATCGAAAAATACCATCGGTAACACCCGGTAACGCCCGGATTCTAGTTTTGGCGCCATTTTTAAAAAATTCGACATTTTGATCGATTTTGGCCGTGTCGACATTTTTACCATTCCATATTTTAACGATTCCATATTTTAACCCTTTTTTAGCCTATTCGATATTTTAACCATTCCATATTTTAACGATTCGGTATTTTAACCCCTTTTTCGCCTATTCGCGATTTTAACCCATTTTTACCCGATTCGAGATTTTAACCCTTTTTTAGCCTATTCCATATTTTAACGATTCGATATTTTGTCCGGACACGGCCCAAGTAGACGCGCGGCCAAGTAGGCGCAAAGCCATAACCTGCTTCAAGATAAACAAATCTTGCCAAATTTAGTATTAAACGATTCCTCTCATCGAGATAAAGAGATTGGTCCAAAATTATTAAGGTTCGGAAATTTTCCAGCTAGTTATGGCTTTGCGCCTACATGGCCGCGCGCCTACTTGGGCGTGTCCCTTAAAAAATGACGATCCTTTACGTTTTTACCCGTGGCGATCCTTTGATGGACGATCTTTAATGAGTGACCCTTTAATACTTTTTGCCCGTGACGATCCTTTAACAGGGCGATCCTTAAAAAAACGATCCTTTGTATAGGAGCCTTAATTTTTCCCCGTTGTGAGACGGTTAGATTTCCCGTTTAACCTGCCGTGTCGAATTAAGTACATTAAATTACATGAAGCAATTTTTATCATATATAAATTAACAACCTTTAGGAATTTTAATAATGGCAACCTTGACTGCATCGCAGGCTACTTATTTTTCTGACGGATCTTCTACAAATCCAGATGTTGGCTTTCAGCGACCTAAAAAGCGCTCACGTATAAATGGGTAGGAGTTTTCTTTTTCTTATCAAAAAATGACATTTATTTAGACTTAGTGAACGCCCGCTTAAACGAATAACTAGATCTCAACTGACGAAACAAACTACTGCCGAAAAAGTGCCTTCTGAAAAATCCACTACGTCCGTCCATTCGTCACAACAAGGCGGTACTCATCAGACCGGTCCTAAACGTGGAGCGCCTCGGGGCAAACCGAAACCTACTTCAACTAAATTTAAGCCAAAAGCTAAAACTACAAAAGGTTTTCTTTTAATTTTTTAAATTTATTTTGAGAAAAAGCACTTGTGTCTTTATTTTTCTGTTGTTTAGATCCCTGGTAGTTACCTTTCTCGGTCTTGTGTTATTTTGAGAATATTAAAATTTTATTATTTTTCCTATTTGCTTTTTTGAGATTTCTTGCCTTGGGTATTTTAGGCGCCTGTTTGGCATTCCACTTTTCTATAAATCCGCAGTCTAATTTTATTTAACAAAACAAACAACTTTCTGTTATCCTTAAATATTTTAGGTTCGAAGAAGCCCAATATTTTAAAAAACAACAATAAATCAAGCTACCATAGATGCCTTGAATGTTCTTATGTAGTTAAATCATTCAAAGTTCATTTTGGTTTAACAAAACGGTAAATTTTTCTTTTAGTATTTTACTATATGCTAATTAATATTATTGGTTATTCTAGAAAGTTTTTAAATCTAGTAATCTTTATACACAAACTAAACTTTCGGCTCTTGTCCAGTTTATGCGTCCCATGAAAGTATATGCGTCCCATCAACAAAAAATTGGATTTTTCTTGGTGTTGCAAAGTAGGGGTATGGTTCCAAAGCATTTCTTCATGTTCGGGATCTACGTCCACTGGGTCTGGGACCGTTCCTTACCCTATACCTCGAAATTTCTGAAAGTTATAGCCAATTTTTAAAAATTTCAGAAAAACGATTTTAACTTTCAGAAATTTCGAGGTATAGGGTAAGGAACGGTCCCAGACCCAGTGGACGTAGATCCCGAACATGAAGAAATGCTTTGGAACCATACCCCTACTTTGCAACACCAAGAAAAATCCAATTTTTTGTTGATGGGACGCATATACTTTCATGGGACGCATAAACTGGACAAAAGCAGGCCCGTAGCCAGGGGGGGGGGGGTGAGGGGGGAATTCCCCCCCCCCCCGAAATGGGAAAAAGGAAAAAATTTGGGGAAGGGCTGGGGCAAAAAAAGTGAATTTTTTCGGCCTACGGCCTCTGAAATTTAAAAAATTTTCGCCTGCGGCGCTAAAAAAGGTAGAAATCTGGCTTCTTAAGGTCCAAAATCCAAAAAATTTTCGCCTGCGGCGCTGAAAATCAAAATTTTGGCGCCTGCGGCGCCGAAAGAGTGAATTTTTTTGGCCTACGGCCTTCTAAAATTCAAAAAATTTTCGCCTGCGGCGCTGAAAATAAAAATTTTTGGCGCCTTCGGCGCCAAAAATTTGGCGCAAAAAATTCCCCCCCCCCCCCCCCCCCCCGAAAAAAAATCCTGGCTACGGGCCTGGACAAAAGCCAAACTTTCTTTTACCTCTTTTCCTTTTTTTACACAAAAAAAGTTTTTTTGGGTTAATTTTTATTTTGATTAATAAGGATTTAGACCAGGGTTCTCATCGACAAAATGCCCATCAAAAGTATCAAAATCTTGATTAAAAAGTAGATATGGACTAAATTTCCATATAAAAAGTATACTCAAAATTAAAAAAATCCCCCCTCCCCGAAAAAAATCCTGGTTACGACCCTGAATTAGACTAATATTTCTTTAATAATTTTTATTTGAAGGCGTCCTTGGTTTACTTGTAATCAATGTAAATTCAAGACAAAATGTAAATGGTTATCTGATCGACATAATTTGCTTTCTTCTTGCAATGTCACAAATGTTGTTAGACGTCCATTTGGAAGACTTCAAAAACCTTCATCTTCAACTAAATTACTTCATTGCTCTTCTTGTAAAGTATTCAGCTCAATCTCTTTTCAAGAATTACTTGAACATTTATCAATGTGCAAAGGATCTCAAATGTTTACGACTAAATCAGAAACTGAAATTACTAAAGAAGAATTGGATGAAGTAGAACTTTTTGGTTCAATTAGTTTATCTGGAGAAAATATTAAATTGAAAAATGATCTTGAAACTGTTGAAGGGCAGAAAGAAGGTATATAAATTATTGAGAAATTTTAAGGCTGAACGATATTTGGAATTTTTCTAAAATCTGATACAAATAGTGTCGTAGTAAAAACCAGGGGTGGGCGCAAGAGACAATCGGGACCAATTAATAATTGAAGTAACACTAAATGTTAGCGAATGCCGAACCGATTTTGTGATTCAAGGGTTTGGATCGATA